TTAATTTTGTCTTAAACTTGAAAGATAAAACTTCAATTATTTCCATAAGTCATATCTGAAAGATTGAAAATAAGAAGCCACCAATAGAAGATTTCAGTCTACTACATATAAACAATAGGCACTGAAAGCATACCCATTGATTTAAGCTGATTTATGCTGATTTTTTTCCCCTCAATTCTACACTCATTGCAGTGAGGCCATATACAAAAGAAGGTTAAGTAAAAATAAAGTAAAAGGTGTTGAGAAGCCTTTCCACATCCCAATCCAAGATCGAAACTCATGCTGCAAATATCCTCTGCTGAAACTTGTCTTGGTTGCTATTGTATGTGGCACTTTTCTAACGCTTTTGTACTCTCCAGAGGTCTATAACCATGACCATCTATCAGGCAAAAGTTCTCGGTATGTGTCTCTTATATACTTTCATACTTTTTGCTACCAAAATGGCTGAATCGAATTTCCCAATTCCTTGATTTTAAGGAAGTTATAGAAGCTGGGTATATGGAATCAAAAGCACTGGTTTGCCTCCTACTTTTTGCTCAAATTGTTTAAGCATGCATTACCTCTAATTTGATGATTCATGCATATCGTGATGCATGTGTACTTGTCTTGACTCTTGATGGTTAACCTCTATTCATAATTACAAGCTGAGTTCTGTTCTGTATTAAAGAGATTTTCACACCTTGTCAAACCTTCAAAACTAGAAAGAAACACATGGTAATCAAACTTGACACCCTTCTGGTATCTTTGACTGCTAAAGGTAACTAGCCCTTGCTTTATTCAAGACTAGGTTTGAGATCATAATTCAAGAATTATTATTATTATTCCTATTTTCCAAGGAACGTTTGCTAGCTGCTAGTAAGTAGTCCTTTTTATCAGGCTTGTATGAGGTGAGGTTTGAGAGTTTGGAAAGTTTAGGCCTTCTGTTTCTAATTCAAGCCTATATTGTTCTAAAATAAAGGTTTCTTGAAACTATAGAGTAGACAATTGACATTCAATAGTTGATTCTCTCGGCCCCTCTAAATGCCTGAAAACATATTTTCTTTTTCTAGTTAGTATATTGTTCCCTCGGTGTCTCTTTCAGTAACTTACAGTATCCAAGTAAATTGTGAATGCATTTTAGCAAATCAAAATAGGATATTTTAGGAAATCAAATAGTGAACCAATGATTAATGAAAGGTATACTCCATGCAGGCGAAAATTTATGAACAGGTGGATATGGGGAGAACCAGATTTTCGATATGTATCCGATGTAGATACCAATTGGGATGATGTCATGAAAGTTATTGAGAAGATGGGACAACAGAATGACTACCAGGGAATTGGACTTCTGAACTTCAATACTACTGAAGTCATCCACTGGAAACACCTCATACCTGACGCCAACCATAATGTTCTACACTTGGAACATGCTGACATGAATGTAACCTGGGATTCCTTATATCCAGAATGGATTGATGAGGAGCAAGAAGAAGATGTCCCGGTTTGCCCGTCTCTACCTAAGCTTGAAGTCCCGGGAAAACGTCTTGATCTGATTGCTGTCAAGCTTCCTTGTAGAAATGAGGGGAATTGGTCAAGGGATGTAGCTCGGCTGCATTTGCAGCTGGCGGCTGCCAGTCTTGCAACCTCCGCCAAGGGCTTTTATCAGGTTCATGTGCTTTTTGTTTCAAAGTGCTTTCCTATTCCAAATATGTTCACTTGCAAAGAACTTGTGGCACGTGAAAAGAACGTCTGGTTATATAAACCAGACTTGAATGTGTTGAGAGAAAAGCTCCAGCTTCCAGCAGGGTCATGTGAACTTGCACTTCCTCTTGGGGTCAAAGGTCAGTTCTAATCCAATTTTTACATGCATGCCCCCAAACTTCTGATTACTTTCTTCTGTGGGAATTCTAGCCTTCAGGTTAGCACTATCTCTGAAGTAAATTTAGAACATTTCTTCATTTTATAACCCGACACGTTGAAGAAGGAAAAATTATTGTTATTATTTTCATTTTCGTCTTTCTCAAACTAGATAATATATCTATCATCATTCCTCTGAATCAAGATCAAGAGTGTACATTTTCCCCTGATCATAAACACAACATGCTAATGAACCATAAATGCATGCCCTTAAGATTTAATAGGAGGTTAGCTGCGGTTGAGTTAATGCTTCTTTCTTTTAAAAAACTAATAACCAAATAAATTTTCTGCTTTATTATTGTTATTTTCATCTGCGTTAGCTAGTTTTCTGTCATAATTTTTCAAACAATTACCTCATCCTACTAGAGTTATATCTCCACTAATTTAAAATGTTATACAATTACTCGAATTTACAGATTCTTTATGTTTCATCACTGTATATAGTAGTTTAAAAAAGGCTAATACAGTATGTTAAATACAGAGCCAATATATTCAGGGAACGCATCTCGAGAAGCATATGCTACAATTCTGCATTCAGCTCATGTATATGTATGTGGAGCTATAGCTGCTGCTCAAAGCATCCGCTTGTCTGGCTCCACCCGCGACCTTGTGATACTTGTAGATGAGGCAATCAGTGTTTATCATAGGAGTGGACTTGAGGCAGCTGGATGGAAAGTCAGGACTATTCAAAGGATCAGGAATCCTAAAGCTGAAAAAGATGCTTACAATGAATGGAACTACAGCAAGTTCCGCTTATGGCAGCTGACAGACTATGAGAAGATCATATTCATTGATGCAGATCTGCTTATACTTCGAAACATTGATTTCTTATTCGGGATGCCCGAAATATCAGCTACAGGAAATAATGGCACACTCTTTAACTCCGGTGTGATGGTGATTGAGCCTTCAAATTGCACCTTCCAGCTATTGATGGAACACATTGATGTGTTTGAGTCTTATAATGGTGGGGATCAGGGATACTTAAACGAGATTTTCACATGGTGGCACCGGATTCCACGACACATGAACTTTCTGAAGCATTTTTGGATTGGTGATGAAGAAGAGGTTAAGCAAAAGAAAACTCGCCTTTTCGGTGCTGAACCTCCAATACTTTATGTACTTCACTACCTAGGGATAAAGCCGTGGTTGTGCTACAAGGACTATGATTGCAATTGGAATGTAGATATAATGCTAGAGTTTGCCAGTGATGTGGCCCATGAAAGGTGGTGGAAAGTCCATGATGCAATGCCAGAGCAATTACACCAGTTCTGCATGTTAAGGTCAAAGCAAAAGGCACAATTAGAATTTGATAGAAGGGAAGCTGAGAAGGCAAATTTCAGTGATGGTCACTGGAGAATCAAAGTTCAGGACAAGCGTTTAAAGAAGTGTATCGACAATGTATGTTCCTGGAAGAGTATGCTAAAACACTGGGGTGAGAGTAACTGGACTGATGATGAATATTTTGTTCCAACACCTCCTGCTATCAACACGGCGTCTCTCTCAGGCTTGTGACTTGATGCCTTGTTTATGTAAATTATCACACACAGTTCTATAAGTGGGTTCACTTTTCTTTTCATTCATTCATAAAGTTTGTTTTAGATCCATTGTGTAGGGGAAAAAAGTACTTTTTTTGATTTTTCACCAGCTCTTTAATTAAAACTTGGTCATCTGTTCAGTCAATCAAACTGATACATACATGGTTTTAATTAATAGGATGGTTTTATATCCAATTTGGTCTTAAATCTGTAAATCATTCTGAATATTAGTTGGCTATATGTAAAAAAATAAGAAAAAGTTGTAATTTGAAAATGTTATCCCTTTCTTTGCCCTTATTCTTAATTGCGGAAAATGTTATGCAATTACTGAATATATTAGTTGAACAAATAATAAAAAGTTGCAATTTGAAAAAACTTATCATTTGTTTTACTAAAAATTTTGATCATTACTAGTTCTTTTTATTAGCTAAATAAGCATTTTATTTAGTTGCTGAATTTATTGGGTGAATCAATAAGAAAAAAATTGTAACTGTAAATTTAAAAACTATTACATTTTAGTTGAAATAATAAAAAGTTACCACTTATTCTTCCCAATTACATAGTTTTGTTACGTTTTTACTCCATATGTCATGCAAACAATTAAGAAAATTTTTAATTTGAAAAATTATCACTTTCGTTTCTATCTTGTTAAAAATAGAACAACACTACTTCTTATCAGTTTCAGAAACTTGTTATTCTGTTACTAAAAATATTGAGTGAATGAAGAATAAAAAGTTGTAATTTGAAAAATTATCATTTTTTACTGGTTAAAAAAATTAATTAAAACATTACTTCTTTTTTATATCAGTTACAAAAGCCTTCAATTTTGTTAATTTTCTAACTTTTTCTGATTATTTCAATATTTATTTACCATTACATAAAATTTATTTATTATTTATTTTTTTGAAGTAACCATTACATAAAAGTAATTTTATTGCAATTGATTTGAGTAATTTCTTTGGCGATGGTAAGTTTACCAAGACGAAAAAAGGAAAGTTTTTATCCTTTGATAGACTTGATGCACGTTAACCCAAAAGTCCACAATACATTATGGTCTATATTTTTGTGTGCACGTGATGGAAAGTGTCACACATATGCAATTGTCCATAAGCCAAGTAGTTGTTCAAGCGTAGCATTGAGTAAGCAACCTCAGAAATGGAAACTAATGGCTGTAGTCATCGGCATACTCCATTTGAACAAGACAAGGGTTAATAATGGGAGAATGTGGAAGTGATGAGTGATCTATGATAGCTAGCATACATAGCATACACGCCTCAATCTCATGATGTTCGGCAACCGCCCAACCACAATAATGTTATTACTGCAAATGCGCAAATGCAAGAAGACTAGTGGAGTTGAAGTGAAGTACATTTTTTCTGGAAGCGGCTGCCCAATATCTTAAGCTATTAGATTCATGTAGTGGAGTAGCACGATGGGTCACGTTCACTAATAGGAACTACTTCAGCTAAATCTTATCTAGGAAGAATGGAAGAAGCTCGGGCAGCACTTTGGTTAATTAAAGGGGAAATGAATCAGAGTGTTTTTAATCATAGTTGTTAAATCATATATCGTGAATTGAAACGGTATTTTTGAGAGTATCGTAACATGATATGCGTCAAATTAACCCATAAGGCAAGCCAGCTGACGCTAGGAAATGTGAGGTAAAGGCGTAAAGCAATGACCAACCTAACACAATTAAACAATGCAATATGCAACTTGGACTTTCTTTGATTTCCGTGTCACCATAACGCCCTTGCCTATAAGTCAAGAAAAAACAGTTGGCCATTGTCAAACTATGTCATTCTCCAATTACCACTACCAACACCACTATCATGGAAATCTTGTCTAAGAGGGCCGCCTCTCCTCTCTGGCTTGCATTGCTTTATCAACGGATGCTATCTATTTGCAAGGTGAACCATCGAGGGACCAAAGGAAAAGTAAAAAGGAAAGTCAAACCTTTTCTTTGCCTGCTATTAGGATTTATAACATTGCAGTATCATCCACCTATCAAGATTTTGTAACAGATGATTGGCTTTATAATCTTAGAATTCTTATAATTTCGACTTAACAATCAAGATGATTCTCATTAATATTTATGGGAAAAAAAGTATCAAGATGATGTTGGAATCCACTGATCTCCTTGAATGAAATTCTGGACTGAATATGTATATACATGCTGCGATGGAATTTGTGTACTCCATGGAACTCTCTTCGACACATTCGATCCTGGTCCAGAACTCCTGAATTCTCCATAGAAAAGTGTTTTCAATGCAAAGTCACCACTCCATGGCATCCAACCGTTTGGAGAAACAAGCGCTTCGATGACACAATTTATATAAACTGTCCTTGAATATTCCTTCCATGGCCTTCCCAAATAATTCTTGTGCACTTTAGGTTTGCTATAATAGTATCTCATGTATTCATCTGTTCCATTGAGCAAGCAGTTCTGGAAAACTAGACCAGTTAATTGAGCAGGATCTGTTCTGCCATGAGCTGTGATGGCATTGTTCTCACCTTTTTCTGGCTTTAACTGCCGGGGAGCAACCAAAATTTCACAATCTTGGGAACACTGAAGCAGAATTTCCAAAGATGAAGTCCACATTCCCCTGAATACGGCACTTCTTGTAGAATTGGCGGAGTGAATGAACATAGAGTGTATCTTGATTGCCTAAGAATTCACAGTTCTCAATGACAGAAAGATCACTGTCGGATCTGAAGGCTACTGCTTGGTGGGCATCAGGGCCGGCTGTATTCTTGATTGTGAGGCCACTGGCCATAAATCCATCCCCAAGAATTCCTGCAACACATCAGAGTTGGGATAAGCTGATAATGCAGCAAACTTGATTATAAAAATTCTCTGGCTAACTAATCTTCCATCTCCACTATATATCAGCAATAATGATATCTACTGCCTCAACAAAAATGGGTACATCATTTGGTTTAGACAAGCGAGCAAGATTTATCCAATGAGTTAAATCTGGAAATTTTGCTCAAAATGGGCTTACAGGCAATATAAACTAAGTGAAACCATGAAAATCTAGATGCATGATTTCATTAAAGCTTTAAATGGAATTGAGATTGAATGTATATACAATTCTATACCAGTTGGTTATGTATTAATTATCAAAACAAGTTGCTTACTTATCAGTCACCTCTTTAACAACATCGAGATTGGTTCATAATTTCAAAGCCAGAAGGGGTGAATTAATTCAACAGATCTAGCCCTGTTAGTGTATACTTGCATGAAAATGCGAAATTGTATGAAAACAAAGGGCAAAATTTGTCTCCACAAGCTTATACATTTGAAAGAGAAATCTTAAACAAAGTTAGACATGTCCTGAAATAAGGACAAAGAACAAACACCGTGACAATTCCGGTAGAGAAGTTAATCATGTCTGAATAAGGAACCTAAACCATGTGGTTGGTTTGTGAAGAAGGTGAAGGTGAAGGTATAAGCTATATTTTTTAATCACCCTCAAATAAAATTGACTAAAGTTAACACTCGTCAAATATGGACGTAACTACTACGCCTAATTTTTTTTTGAAAAAGTGACTTTACTTTCAGCTTCACAAATTAACTACCCAAACCTCTATGCGCATTAGTTATTCTATTTCTATCATGTGCATAAGAAATCCACACATGAAATATTGATTTAGACGCTATTCTTCTCTTTATTTAAAAAAGGTAGATTGAATATATGACGAGATAGGATGAGAAAAAAAAATTGAAAAAATCTAATTTCAAATCATAGTGTTTGGTTTGGTGCAGATTAATTTTTTCTTTATTTAATTTGAATCAAATTTAAATGTTAAATGTATATATTAAATTCTAATAAATTTTGGATCAGGATATGAAAAATCCAAAAAAACTAAACCAAACCAAATCATATATTTTTATTAGTTTTTATATATTTTTAAATTTTTATAAAATAAAACAATTATTCTATATATACATTTACTTAAATATTTAAAAGTCATACTAAAATAATATATAAAAAACAAAAATTAATAAATTTTAAAAATTAACAAATCACACTGACAAAATTTGATTTGAATCAATTTATAAAAAAAATTGATTTGAATCAAAATTTAAAAATTTATAATATAATACATTATAAAAAAATCAAATCGGATTGATCAATTCTTAATAGTTATCATGTCTAATCTCAACCACATCTAACCATTACCACTCGGATTTAAGTCAAATAGTAGGAAATTATTCATATACAATGAAACACGCAGTGTCATTTTCCACATATTTTATGAAATTTTGGGCAATTTGCTAACATTCACAAATCTTTCCAAGTCTACGTTGAATTATACATTACTTTTAGACTTTTCCAACTAAAAGAAAGATCAAGTATGAACTCGTCTCTTGAGTCTAACGATCCTCCTACGCCAAGTCCAACATTAGTATATTTATGGAGTCTTGAATTAAACCCAAGTCATCGGTAAAAACTCATGACTCCCCACCTTTATACTTTCTAGTGTTACAAAAAAAAAAGAAGAAGCTAAAATTGGTTGCTCTGTTCTATAATTGAAGAGACCAATAATATAGATGTAATATGTTTGTTGAAAATTTAATGGTAATTAATTATTTGAATATCTAAAAATGGTTAAAAGTAATAAAAGGAGAGGGTACTCACCGACTGTAGCAGTATTGTAAGTGGTGATTCCAGGCTGCCCCACATTTAAAGAACCCGTGATGATCGTTTTACCCATCCCATCACCCAAGAACACCACATTTTTCTTCTCAAACGGCACTCTTACCGTTTCCTCGTACACCCCTTCCTTTATGTGTATCACGAAATGACGTTTCGTTTCTGCGTTATCCGGTGCAGCATTAACGGCCTCTTGCACCGTCTTGTAACACCCTCCGCTCCCGTCTTTACACACCGTTACGTCCACCTTTAAGTCTGACGGAAAACCCCCGTTAAACCCCATGTCCGTCCCACCCGACCCCTTCTCGTAAAACCCTTCCCGTTCCGTTTTGGGAGGGGTCCACGAGGCTATGTCATCCCCCTGATTATCGTAAGCGCCCATCATGCTTAACGCGTTGCTGCTGTATTGCGTTAGAGTGTCCAAAAACGCCATCGTTTGGTCGACCAGTTTGGTGTCGTTCACGTACTTGAGCGCGCTCCAACAATCGTATTGGTAACAAAGGGCCGCGCTCATCCATGCACGTGCATCTTTGATCTTGCCACCTGTTAACGCGTCGTTGGCTGATTTCATGCGGTAATCTGAGTAAGAAAGGATCTCCAGGCAGATGGTGGCGGCGTTTGTACGGTTAAGGTTGCCTTTGGAGGAGTCAAGGATGGATTTTACCATGGATTGTCCGGTTTTGAGGTTCTGGGAAGAGACGGAAATGGCTGAGTGGATGATTTGGAGGGAGGTTGGATTAGGAGGGAGAGGGGAGGAGGATTGTGTTAGGGAAGTTTCACAGGGTTGAGGGAAGCGAGTGGATTGGCATGCAAGGCGGATTTGAGAGGAGTTTGAGGCGGAAACAGGGAAATTTCGAGGAGATGAAGGTGGGTTTTGATGGTGGTGGCGACTGGAAGAAGAGAGGTTGAAGAAAAGGGTCAGGGAAAGAAGGGAAAGGAGAAGAAGAGAGGACATTGAGATTGATAGAAGGAAAAAAGTGGATTTCCAAGCCGGTTTTTTGGAAGGTTTTTTGTGTGATAGGTTTAAGGGAGGAGGTGGTGGTGAAGATGTAGGCATGGACTTTGGGGTTGGGGGGGTATTTATAGATGGAAGGGATGGGGAGGTTGGAAATTATAAGGAAAGTAGAAATTGGTGGTGATTAGGAACATGGGACTTTGAAAACTTTTGGAATTAAAAGGGGATTCACGAGACGAGAAGAGAGTGAAAGTGAGAGTCACGGGGATTATAGGTTTCGGATTTTGCGAATGGAACAAAGCGAAACAGAGCGAAGAGGAGACAGAATTTTTAGTCTGTTATGCGATGAAATGGAAAGCAGATTAGGAAAGGTGTGGACGTGGAAGAAAATAAATGGAATGGTGATCTATAATCATCAATGGTGCTGCTGCAGATCTGTTATCAAAAGGGAAAGACCAACAAAGAGGAGGTTGGCTTTGTAATTTTGGGTGGGAAATAATGAGTGGGTATTTGCTGTTTTCTAACTATTTTAGTATTATTAGAGCGGTGAACAAAAAAAAAGTAACCTTTTTGAAACAGAGTTGAGTTGTTAAAAAGCTGGTCTTGACTCTTGACTTTCGAATAACAAGAGAACGATGCCAAGCCGAGAACCCTGGCTATCGTGCTTGGTGCTGGGCCTGCTTTTGTTTTCAAATTTTTTTTCACTAAACAGTAATGTTTTATTTAGCAACGTCTTTAAAGCTTAAAACTCAAACCAAATTCAGCTCCGTCCATTTATTTAAGTCTAGACTATACTAGGCTATTTGAAAATATATTTTTATATTAATATATTTTATATTTAAAATATATCATCTCAAATTTATTACAAAAGTACCTTTAAGTATCAAATTAGTTTGTATTAACAAATATTTTACTTTTACAATTAAAAATAAAAATTCTAAAATAAAGTTTAACAATTGTTGTGATTATTCATAAAGCATGAAAAAGTTATTGTTCAGGTCTTCAGAGGCAGGCAGAACCACCAAGTACATCAATATAGAGTCAAACACACTGCGAAATCAGAAAAAGAAGCTCTATGCTTAAGAGAACAATCTATAGTCAGCATAATAAAGAAGAATAAATAGAAGAACAGCTCCTCTACGAGAAAATAAAAATGGGGGTAGTGACACAAGTGCTACTTGTATAAAAACAAACCATCAATTGTTCAGGACAAACTTCCATTTCAACAAGAGTGCTACATTTTCTCTCAGGGGAGAAAAATAGAAAAAAAAATTGGATTATCGATCATATTGAAAATTAATGTGTATGATCATAATACTCTACAGCCTATGTATTTGGAGATAATAGCATGGCTTCTGAACAACTTTTACACTTTACGAGCTAGTGTCCTCTGCTTTGTTGCATGCTGAACTACTTTTTCTTCTACAGGAAGACCCTTCCGCCGCCTCACAGAATCAATGAGCTTTCTTGATGTATTTGGAAGAACACTAGAACCATCTCCAAATTCTTCTATCTCCTCTTCTGTTTTCGGTACAAAAAAAGGATCCTCAGGAAGTGCTTCCCAATGGCTAAGCACAAGAAGGGCACTAGAAGCCCCAGATGTCCATCTCCTTAGTTCATCAGCAAAACCAAAACTTTCAGAAACTGGCACATAGGCATGCACAGTAAAAAGTGGAGAGCCTTCCTGCATTTCTTCCTTCAAAACTCGGGCTCGCCTCCGAGCAAGCACAGCATACATAGGGCCCAAATATTCAGTTGGAGTATTCAACTCACAAAAGTACATGGCTTCAACAAGCCTAGGCTTCCTCTGAAGCACAGCTGCTCTACAGGCATCCTTGACTGCTGTCATTACCTGTCCGGTAAAAGGGCCGTACTGCTCAGATTGTTGGTTAGGTTCTGACTCGCTGGCCTGCACAGTAGAGGGAGAGATAGAAGCTTCAATGATAAATGCTAGTCCCCACATTGGCTCATCACATAAGGGGCCAGCTGCAGTAGCCATTTGAAATCCAGATATCACACTACTTTCAAGATTCTCTGCTTCTATGTAGAGTGGTTGTATCACTTCCGAAGATGTAACAGCAGCTATATCCCCAGCACTAGAATTATCAGCTAATCCCAATCTCACAGATACATGAGGGAAGCCATGTATCAGAACAGAGCTATCATTGTTCTCCCTTTTGTAATCCGGAGTGAAGAGGATGTTAGGACCAACCTGCCTTGGTCCAAGTGCCCAGATCCTGCTAAGAAGCTTGAGCCATTTACCTTTGCATTTTTCAAACTGATCCTCGTCGTTTTCATTTCCATACGAAATATAACCCTCCAGAGCATCAACTATGCGTTTTCTGAGTACTTCAATTGGACTCTCATCTTCACCCACACTTAATCTATGTATTTCCAAGCTTTTACCACTCTGCCCCACTTTACCTCCAATAACATCTGAGAGCAAATCAGCGCTTTCATCAAGCACCTTGGTTAGTGTAGATGGAAGTTTCATGACTTGAGCACGGATGACACATCTTCCATTTGGAGTAATTTTTTCAACATAATCAGAGCTAGCACTCAACAGTTTCAAATCCTCCAATGGATTAGATAAATCACCCTCAATAGTCTCTTTATAGGACACAAGAGGTGGAGAGACTTCTAGGCTCACCTTTGCAAATCTCTCCTTCAAATCCTTAATGCATCTTTCTAGATGAACCTCCCCAGCAGCGGCTAACACATGTTCCCCTCTAGATGAAACAGTGACCTCCACAAATGGATCTGCTCGATTCAGAAGCCTCAAACCTTTCATAAGAGCACCCATATCTGCTGGATCAGAGGGCTCAATTGCAACCTTTAGGGTGGGGGCAACCTGGAATGCCATACTGGAGAAAGGCCAACAGTTTCTTGTGGATGAGAGAGTTGCACTTTTTAATATATGCTGGCCAAGTCCACGAATTGCCACAATATTCCCAGCCCTTGCACAGGTCACTGGTTTCAGACCTTGACCCATCATTAAATATAAGGACTGCAATTCAGCTTCCTGCACATGCTTCTGCATTGATTGCCCTCTCAATGGATCATATAGAGCTGAAAGCACAAAAACTCTTTGTCCTAATGTAAGAACCCCACTAAAGATCCTAGCAAATGCAAGGAAGCACTCATCTGATTCACTAGTTCCACCTTCATCAGTGAAATTGTTTAAAATCTCCCCATGCGGACCCCGTTGCGGCAGCATCTTTGTTGGGACTGCAAACATCTTAGATACAAAACCAACACATGGTGCTTCAGGGCTAGAATCACAAGCTTCAACCGACTTTCTCACAAGATTAGCCTCTGCAAGCACATTAGAGTCCACCCCTTTATTGAGAATCTCTCTATTGGGAATCAAGCGTGAAATCCTAAAAGATTGGGCAGCAATTGGATCTGGCATACACTTCACCACCATTGACAAAACTGCATCTGACAAAGGAAGCCATCTGCTCATGACAGCTTGAAGCAAAATCTTTGAGTCCTTATTCTGCAGTTCACGAGGAGGAACAGACAAATTAAAAGATTTAATCACTTTCTCAAGCATCCCTTTGCCCCCATCCGGCTCCGAAGCAGCCTGGTAAACATGCCAAAGTGGTTCAAGAACAAACTGCACAAACATTGGCCGAGCCTTACTTCCTCCACCTAATCCCTTCTTCCCAACAATCATCTTGGTCTTGGGATTGAAATACCGAGGACCCCAGAAAGCCTTTTGAAGTGCAGCTGTACTTGCCCCAAGCTTAGAAGCATATAAATCAGCAAACTCATTAATTGTAAAACCCCACCCATCCAATGCACACACAAATGCCACATTTCCTTTTTGAGGCTGAAAGGTATCCTCTTCATCATCCTCTATAGACTCCAAATTATCGTCACTCACCTCACCAGAAGGGCCAGCAAGTATGGAATCAACATCAGACAAATATTTCTCCGACTTATACGTACTCATAATCCCATTTACCTCATGAACAATCCTCAATAAACGATTATAAGCTTCCATAGGGCTCAACTTCAACTCACATATCAACCTATCAATCTTATTAAGAACTAAACATGGGGTAACCTTCTCAATCCAAGATTGACGCAAAACCGCATGAGTTTGAATATGAACACCCTCAACAGCATCAACCAAAACCAGTCCACCATCACTCAACCGTGCGGCAGTAGACACTTCACTACAAAAATCCATATGACCAGGAGAATCTATAAGGTTAATCTCATAGTCTTTATAATGAAGAGCTATGGAAGAACTCTTCATTGTTATTGCTCTCCTTTGTTCTTCATCAAGATAATCCATAAACCTAAGCTTACCAGCTAATTTAGGGTGAAGTACACCGCCCCCCGTGGCGGCTATCAAATGATCAGCCAATGTGGTTTTACCATGATCAACATGTGCTAATACGCATATATTTCTAATCTTTCTTGTATCAAGGTCACCCATTTTTATGTTCTTCTCTAAGTTACAACAACAACAACAACAACAACAACAACAACAATCAGAGCTAAAATAACAGAAATCTGATGTAAATGTATTGGGAATCTTAAAACAAAGCAAAAACAAAATTGGGTATTTTAGGTATATTGATTCTCAGGCACTATACTATAAAGGGAAAGAATTAATATCTCCGTTCGGCAACAGATTTTAGCTGTCGTCGCAGAAACAGTGTTCGCGTGGATCTTCAGTGGCACGATTGGGTTATTTGACAGCGTCACCCCTGCCAATAGCCAGTGGTCTCGAAAGATGCAGTGGCTTCCTCGCGCCGCAGATCCCTTCAAGCTTTCTTTTTGACCCTGTAGAAGAAGAGAAATGAGAAAGAAAAATAGGGCAGCAGGAGAAAGGGCGAAAGGCACGTGCAATCAAGGAAGGAGAAGGGAGTGGTTTAGGTGCCACACGTGTCGGGCTATATTTTTTTTGGTTTTTTTTTTAATCTTTTGTTAATAATAAAAGGGGTTGTTTTAACTTTTTAGGGATGCTTAAATAAATGGAGAAAACTAAAATTAAAAAAAAAATAGCTTGTAAGTGGTTTAAAATAATGTTAAAATTATAATTAAAATTATAATTATAATTGCCAGAGTGTAATCATCAAAATAAAATAAGGAGAAATTTACAAATTTTAATAGATTCCATTAAACAAAATTCATATTAAGCTAAATATTTAAGTACCAAAAATTGTAGCATTATATATAAAGAAAAATTAAAATTTTACTTGATATTTTTATTAATCATTTCTTTTTTTACCACATTATCATCATTGTTTTTACAATTAGTTTCAATCTAATCACTGTAATTTTCAATCTCATAAATTTATTTTATGAAAACCAATCATAATTAATTTTTTATTGCAAAAAAAAAATTCAATAATAGAAAAAGAAAAAGAGCGGGGCCCAATGACTACAAGGGGGCAGGGGCAAAATCTAAACAAGATATTATCGGTACTATACAGTCGAGCTTGTAAAGTCTTCAACCCGAACTCCACAATCGCTTTTTCTCTCCATTGAAGATTAATTGACGGTTCAACTCACATTTTCTCTCCTCCTTTGCTCGATTCTCTCTCTCTCTCTTGTTCTCATGGTGAGTCCTCTTTCGATCTATTAACGTGTATGTATTGTTTCTAGGGTTTTGTTTCTTGTCTCTCTTTCAATAACTTTGGGTTTAAACCTAACAAGGCATACAAATTAGGGTCTTTAGGGTTCTGGATTAATGGGTCTCTGTTGATTTCTTGGGTTTCTTTGCTTTCTTGGGTTTCTTTGCTTTTTGACCTTTACTTTTTTTTTTTCGTTTTCACGTGAGGAACTTTTTGGGTGCTTTTAGTTGATTGAGTTCTTGAATTATTCGAAGGTAGGAAACCCTTGATGGGTTTTTGAGTTCTTGTTGGTTTTTCAAGCAATTGAGTTGTTTTGCAACGTATGTTAAAAATTTTTCTTTTTTCTTGTGATTGTATGTGCTAGTTATATGCTGGTTTCATAAATGATTTAGATGCAAATAGGAAGCAGTTGACAGAGCGGATGCTTGGGACAATTATTATAATGGATCCAAGTAACTTGTCTTTGAGTTTTTTTGCTTAGACTGGAAGCTCATAGTTTTTTCATAGTTTCTTAGTTAGGCAATTGGATTGTTAAATTTCTAAACATTAAGTGAACTAATATTCTACAGTTCCAATAGCTAGATAATCGATTTTACAGAGAGAGATGTGTTGTGCAGTATGTTTTGCTAGAAAATATCAGTAGGAAGCTGACTAAGAATACCTCCCATCGTGTTGAACTTATTGCCTTACTGAAATTTTTGCTGTGAAAATAATATGTTTTTTTATTGTTATCACTTATCAGTGGAAATTAGACGATAAAGTTTTATATAGTTGTGATAGATATGGACTTTTTTTTTATTTGTCTAGATAGTTTTTAGGCACCTATTGGGTAATCAACAATATTTTCTACCGGGGTTTGTTATGTTCGTTTGCTTTAGTATTTACTCTTTATTAGCTTTTCATCTCTATGCCCACAAACATTGCGTAGACAATGAGACTAGGTATCAGGATAGATAGTCCTGCATATGCTTTAGTTCTATGTATCTCATAAGAGTGCATTTACCAGGGTGCTAATATCAGACATGATTTTGCTGCAGTATTTTTCACAAGGTCTGTGGTTGATGGAATTACCAAGTGCATTTTGCAATGGCATTCTCTCCTTCCTCAAGTGGCACATTGGATATGAGCCCTTATTAATGCATTATAGCAGTTTGTTTAGTGGAGAATGCCAAAGATTTTGACATAGCAATATAAAAATCTGGATCATAATTCAAGAGTAAAGAGTCTCTTAAACTTTGGAGTGTTTTTCTGCTGAATCCTCCTGATGCTCAAATTACTTCATTGTCATTATGGAGTGAAGGTCTGGTTTGGAAGCAAGATACATCCCTTTCATGCATGAAAAGGCTAAACAATGCAGTTTGGTTGGTTGGAACAAATGCTTACAAGTACATAATCTGAATGTACTTCTCAACGTGATAGAAAAGCTGAGAAAGTATATAAGATGGTGGACCATTTGTGTATAGCAATTGACTTTTTCTAACAATATGAAGAAGTTTCAGATGATATACATACTGAATTGGAGATAGGACACAAAAGTATCTTGTTTGACTATTGCAATTCGAATTTGACTCTTGTACCAGATTTTAACATTAGTTTTTCCTTTGTGAGAATAAATTGCTATATTTATGAGTTGAATGACTCAAGACTATGCGAATTCTTACTATTGTTTGGAGCAATGGGAATTCAGGTTTTTATGGATCTCTGGTTTTGCCTCATTCTTTGAATTGTTTGATTGTATTGATTAGGTTTATGCCTGTTCATACAAAAATGATAATCGCTAAATCTGAGGATATTAGGCACTTGATAATGTTGAGACATGGGCCATGGGCTACTAGAGCTTTTTGTTATTGCAACATGCAGTTACCTCTTTGTACCTTGGCATATGACTTGGATTCTTAACAACTCATGATGGTGCTATATTGGAGCTTTTGGCATTATTTGTATATTTTGGGCTTTAGACTTATGCACCTGCCTTGCCCGTCACATTCTGGAAAACATATTTTTTCCACTATTTGGCGGGGTATTTTCTGTAAGACTCTTGGATGTGACACGTTTCACGAGGATAAATTGGAAAGTTTTAAGTTTGTCTATCTAATTTTTGGAGTAGGGCATAGTTTTAGTTAACTCTTCTCATTTTGTATGTTTTCTAATTTACTTGATACAAAACAAGGTGCTAATCTATAGGCTATATATTTTATGTATCAGCAGATTTAAGGAATTTTGCTGCAGTTGCATTGAATTCTATTACATTCTACCACTTGTCTTTAACATACACTTGATGGAAACCTTCTTGCCACTTTTTGAAGTTAAAATGCAAAAAGCACGTGGGAGACCAATGTGTCCTCAAATTCTTTGAAAGCTTTATGGAAAATGTAATTGGATTTGGAGGAAGGCGTGGTAATGTTTTCTACTATTTGATTTAAAGTGGTGGCACTTGAGATTTAGTCTAACATGTTATTATTTTCAAGGCATGCTATGTGCAGTAGGTGGTTCTACCAGAGTATAATCTTTTGGGTTACTAGATTTAGGACATATCATGTATAATCACATTTCTATTGTTTTAGCCCTGCAAGTGACTGAAAAGTCATAGGCACTATCTGCTGATATCTTATGTTGAAAATCTTAATGTGCTAATTCTATGGAGGTGTTTTCTAGTTTGTTAATGTTAGTCACCATTTTGTAGAGATATATCCTTCGTGTAGTTTGTATTTGCAGCATGCAGTCAGCCTTTTGTAAAAGGCAGGACAGTTAATTGTCTTACCTGTATTGTTGAGTAATCAGATCAACAATATTCTTTTAATATTTTTTTATTGTTTCTTCATGCCTTTATTTAACATTCAACCTATATGTTTCTTTTTAGCAAGGAACATGTTTAGCAAGACATCTCATCAAGAAGGGGTCCATGCATGGGTTCATGAGCCCTACATGAGTCTCAACTTTAAACTTGGTTTCCTTCAAAACACCTACCTTTCCGTCCATGTCTCTTTGTTCTCTTTTCAATTATCTAAATTCTTTTGTGATATACATAAGAGATATTCTGGAAACATTGAGAAAGCTAGTTGGTTAGAGAAGTTTTATTATATTGGGTGACTTGTTCTATCACCTTGTTCCGCATGAAGGTATGTTGCCCAATTTCTTGATCTACTGTATGTTTCAAAGAGACAAGATGGAGAGATTTACATTGACCTAAAATTACTAAAACATTTCCATTGTTCTATAGCTTTTTATTTTTTATAAATATTTTCCTAATGAATTATTTATGTGCAATGTACATGCTAATTTTCAAGCAAATTCATTTTTGTAACAATTTGATTGATAAAATTGCTTTTAGTATATACGTGTTACGATTGTAATTTGTGATACAAGGTAAATAGTCTTTGAGAGACTAAATAGCAAAACAAAGCAGAATCTAATTTCAAAATAGTATAGCAATGCTATTCACTAGCGCTTGCAATTATATCAGCAGATTGACTTCTGAATGTTAGATATATTTATTGCCTTCATGTTGTCCTTGTTCTCATTTTTGTTTTTGGAAATTTGACATTTGTTTAGTGGAATTAGATTTTTTCCCTATGGGAATTAAATCAAATAGCAGAGTGGACATGAGATTGACTGGCATGTGAAATAGATCCTGCCATGAATTAAATCAATGTTAGGCACGAAACAGATAGAGGTGGCAGTTTATTAATATCTTACTTCCATACTTCCAGATCATACTGCATTCATAAGAATAAGTGCAACCGGTGAAATGAGCGGAAGCAGAAAACGCGGTTCCAAGTGGGATTCAAAAGAGGAACGCCAACATTCTCTTGAAAATGTACGAGACAGCGCTTGGCCTGCGAAAGCAGGTATGTCTTTTCATGATAGAGAATCAGAACATGGATATTTCTCTCCAGAGGTTGGTAGGAATTGCAACAAGTGGTCTGTTGCCAAAGCCAGTGACATGATGAAATCTAAGCATGGACTGCCTTCAAGGGAATCTTTACCTGGAAGCAGAGGTGGCCAAAAGGATGATAACATCAATGTTGACTGTGTCAAAAATTGGAAAACTACAACTCTGTGGGATGGGGATGAGACTTACAGCATGAAAATGTCACCTGGCCTTGAGGATTGGAGGCAACAAAATCGCCACCATTCTCCTAAAAGTGATTGGAGCAGGTCTTACAGGTTCGATTGTCTACTCTGTTTATCCTTGATTGTTTTTATCTTCTTTTTGAAAGTGTTCTGCATTGTTAGCTTTGTATAACATGACTCCATCATATCAATGCCATACCCTAAATATTACACACTGATTCTTCAATGTTGCTAAGAAATTGAGAATCAATTACTTATTGCTTCTTTTTGGCATTTTCATTTATGTTGGAAATGCTTCTCTATACTAAAAGAATTAATTTTTTTCCCAATTAGTTTGTGATTCCCCCCCCCCTTGTTGGTTTGCTTAAAAGTTTATGTTGTGAGGTTGCATCTTAGCTTAATTTGTTGAGCACAATACTGTTGAACTCTCTAAGTAGTATTATGGTTTATGCTTATTTGCCTGGATAAAGGTTCTGTTCCTTCTTGTCTCTCTTTCCTCTATATCTCTCTTCTTCCTGTTGAATACTATTGGTTTTTTAGTATGTCTCCAATCTATAGTTTTACCCACAGAAGCAGGAGTAGGAGCTGGAGCAGAAGTCGTAGTAGAAGCAGGAGCCGAAGTCCAGTTCGTGGCATTAGGCGGCAATCTGGATTCCATGAGAGAACCAGAAGTAGATCTGGAGTGTCAACTCAATTATGTAAAGATTTTATGGCTGGGAGATGCAGGAGAGGCAGTCAATGCCACTTTCTTCACCAAGATATTCAAAGTGATGAGGATGGTTGGGATAATAGACAAAAGAGAGGTGGCATGTCAAAATATTTTACTCCCAATGATGGTAAAGATTATCTGATTAAGAGTGGAAGATCCACTGATTGCTGTGCTGATTATCTGAAAGGTAACTGCCGTAAGGGCGCATCATGTAGGTTTGCTCATGATGGTGCTTCTGATGGCTTTAGTAGAGGATCAATAAACGAGGTAAGTAGGGAAAGAGAAAATGACAAGAGGAACAGAGTTACAACTCCAGAGCGACATGTTGAGCATGAAGCTCGAAGAAGCATGGATGTTCCTTGCAAATACTTTGCTGCCGGAAACTGTCGTAGTGGAAAATATTGTAGGTTTTCTCATCATGGTGAGGCACGTGCAAGTCCTGAAAGAAGGTCACGAGGTGATAGGGGTGGATGGGGTCAAACTTCTGTTAGTGTGGATAAGTTGCTGGGTGGTGCAAAATCAAGAGATGCAGATGCTTCATTCAATGTGGAGAAATCTTGGAATGCTCCAAAATGGAGCAATGCTAATGCTTCAAATGAAGGTGAGAAATCCTGGTCTGGTCCAAAATGGGGTGATGCTGATGCTTCAAATGAGGTGGACAAATCATGGACTGGTTCAAAGTGGAGTGATACAGGTGCCTACTTAGGGGCTAATAAGTTGAACAAGGAAACAAATGGAAAAATGGGTGCCTCTGAACCAAGATTCTCTGATTGGTCCTTGGATGATAGATGGCAGCATGACTTTGATGCAAGTGGAAAGAACGGTGAGAGTAACGTGCATTATAAAACAGTTGATATTGACAAGGATGAAGCAATTCCGAGGAAGATAGAAAATGCCGGTGTTAGTATGGGTGCTGGGGAGTCACTTGGTGACATGGAGATGTCTCCTGAGTGGAATTACGGGATCCACTCTTCTGTTAAAATACAACATTCTCGCAGTTCAAAATCAACACCTGTGGACTCATCTGTACCAGCCCAGGAAAAGAATATGACTAAAGACGCCTCAGGTTGGGTGCATGATGAGCTTGCAGCTTCGCAGCCACTGTCAACTGAGAAATCTAACTTTCAACAGGACCACATGATGAGGGGCAGCAGTGCTGTTGCATTGCCATGTGACAGTAATGATATTAGCAGAAATACTTCTGTTTCACGCATTGATCTAAATTTTTCTACCAACAACCTGTCAATGCCAAGCTTTGACCAGCCTGGGCCAAGTTCAAGTTCTTTACCTTATTCAAGCTTAGGTGCAGTTGGACAAAGTCAAGTGGCAATCCCTTCTAATGAAGTAAATATGAAAGTTATGCAAAACAGCCTGCTGTTTCAAGAGGAGAAACCAAGCAACAAACTAAATATTGGAGATACAAATCTATTACCCGGTAATTCTGGAACTCAGTCAACTCAGAAAATGGTAAGCAGTGAACAGCTCACCCAACTTACCAATCTTTCAGCCTCCCTAGCTCAGTTATTTGGAAAGGGGCAGCAACTTCCACAACTTCATGTTGCTCTTACTGCCCACGATCCAATGCAGGTGACTTCTTTTCCGAACTCTGGAGGACCTGTTGAGCCAGATTCTGTGCCAACTGTACAGCCAGGTCAAGACATTATATTCCAGGAGCAATATGACCCTATATCTGATAGCATTGGGCCTGTTAAGACACAGGACACAAATACTAAGGCTTTAGTGATATCAGTACATCCTGTTTCTCAGAAAAATACTACAGATGGTAAACCAGAACTATCAACTAATAAGTTATTATCGTCATCTCATGTGGATAGCACAAATGGTGGTGATTTTCCTAATGATCACAGTTCCAAAAGAGAGCCTGATTTTGATAGTCATAAGCTAAATCAACTGAAGCCTCTTGCAAGTTCTGAGGTGACAAAGGAAAATGGAGTTGAGGAAACCAAGAAAGCTGAAGACGAGAATAAGAATGGTCCATCAGAGAACATAGATGCAGAAGACAGGACTGATGAGGGCAAGAAGAGCAAGGATGGTAAGGGAATTCGTGCATTTAAATTTGCATTAGTTGAATTTGTCAAGGATCTCCTAAAACCAACATGGAAGGAAGGTCAAATTGGCAAAGAGGCTTACAAAAACATTGTCAAGAAAGTTGTTGACAAAGTGACTGCTACAATGCAAGGAACTAATATTCCTCAAACACCTGAAAAAATTGATCAATATCTGTCATTTTCAAAGCCAAAGCTTAGCAAACTTGTACAGGTGAGTGCAGCTTACTTTTAAATTGAAAGGGTTTAGAATTTTGGATGGGAAAGAAAAAGAACATGAAACCTTTCTTTTGTTGTCTTTTCCATGTTTACTTGGCATTGTGCTCTTGGTCAGATGAGTTACAACTCATTGAAAGATGCCCTATGTCTTGTTAATAGTTGAAGTTGATGGAAAATTCCATTCTATAATTTAATTATTTGTTTATCATAGTTTGTTTCATTTTGTGCATAGTTTGCTGACATCATTATACTGTTTTTGATTCTGTTGCAGGCATACGTGGAAAAGTTTCAGAAGAGCTAAAAGAAACAGGGATAGCCATGTCTTCTTGCTTTATTATTTTTGCAGCTTCTAGAAATGCTAACGTCTTAAATTTCAGTTTATATGTTTTATTCCTAGGAGGCAGGGTTAAGTAGTGACTTTTTAAACTCCATGTAGATATATATTCTGTATTACAAGTTTAACATATGATGTTGGCACTTGCTTCTGCATATGTGTGGGTAGTTTGTAGCAGTTGTGATCATTTTCTGAATCTAGTGTCTGAACTGACAGTGATTGTTTACTCTTTTATCATCCTGCTTATTAATATATCTAGGGTTCTGTGTGCCTAAGTTTGATGTTTTTGACATTTTTGAAACTTGGCACCTTTTGGTCTTTGTCATTTATATATTTGTCAGTGCAGAGAAAGAAGGGTGGTTCTTTTTATGATTTCATATAAAAATGAATGAATGAATGAAGTACAGCAAAAAGAACTAATAAAATGAGGGGAAAATGTAGTAAATTAAGTAATTTTTGTTGTAAGTTTGAATATATATAGATAAGCAAAAAAATATGATATTTTGATTTAGTGAGCAACAAATAAAATTTCCTTTTATAGCTCGAGCTGGATTGGGTTGAAATGGTCTGAGGGTGTATTTGTGAATATATTCTAATATAAGTTGCATGTGTCATTCATAAATATTGAAATGATGAAAAGGGTTTACTGGGTGAAGTAGGAGATGAATATCTTACTTTCATAGATGCCTAAAAAATGCTTTAAACCACACCATACCATGCCTTCAACTCCTTGGTCCTTGTTGTAAGTACATTTGAGTCATTGATATTAATTTAATTCATTAATGCAGGTAGTACAGAAAAGAATTAACTCATTAATTGCAGCATTTATGACAATTGTACATTTTGGCTGTTGAGATTGCCCCGACTTATATTTAATTAAGTCATGGGGTTGCCTATCAAGACTCTAATCCCACGACCTACCTGTACTTCAACCCAAATATTTGTTGGTAATTAATTCAACATGTATACTTGTTTTTTTTTTTTTTTTTTTTTTTTTTTAAAAGAAATTTGGTTGCTGTTACGGGTGAGGTTCTATGTTTTTTTTTTTTTTTTTTATTTCTTTGGAACATGCAGATGCAATTCCAATGTCATAAAATTAGTGCACCCAACATTAATATTTGTAGTTTTAGGTCATTTGTTACACATTTTCTCTTTGACGATATCCTGACTTGAGCATATATCGGATCACCCTAACTGACGGACTATGTCTTTTGCAGGTGTTGAATAACGTTGGATAGTTAGGTCTTGATCAAACTACATCTTAGCAACAATATTAGTGTTTCAGTATATGAGAACAAATAAAATTAATGCCTTAATTTGTATTTATTTTATTAAATATATAATGATTGAGTTTCACTTTTGTTTCTAGTTATTAATAATTAGTATCATTTTTTTTATGATTGAAGTTTAAATTCGAGATCTTCAATTTTAAATTCATAAAAAATCAAAGTCAAAGAAATTTAATTATTCAACTGATCATCATGATGATTTTTTATGAATTTAAAATTGATTTTTTATGATTTTTATGATTATGATTAACACTATGTTTTTAATCACTAAGATACAGCATTTTTTTTTTTTTTGAGTTGAAAATATATGTACTCTAGATATGTTTCTATCATAAATAAAGTAGTTAATAATTAGTAATTTTGTTTTAAAAAATGAGTAATGCAATGTGATGTTGGTCTTATTGGATTCAAATAATGTTTACTATCAATAATTTTGAATTGAATTAAAGTAACGTTATATTAAATATATATATATATATTAAAAATTAATGGAGAAGGAGAATGCTTTTGTTAAGAAATTAAAATAAAAGGTAGCTAGGCAAGTAGCAAAAAAAGTAACGAAAGACAAGAAAAGCAGCCTTTGAATTTGTTTGTGCATGCATCTTCCCAATGCTAGGTAGCCTAGGAGAAATGAGATTGAAAATGAGCTTTTGAGGTGCTAATTTAGGACCCGACAAGCGAGATGTTCACTTTTTGCTAGCTTTTCCCCTAATTTGAAAACTTCTGAAACTCTAAGGCGCCCCTAAGCAACACCTACCAAGTCACTGTGTGGTCCGGACTCTGAGGAGAGGAAGGAGATGAGACCCAAGGTGGCATGGGGAGTCATAACCATAGCTGTACCAGGACTTCTTCTTTTATAATTTCTTAGGGAATGAAATATAAATGAATGAATGAATATTGAATGGGTGTCAGTCAGGTCTCACCCAATCCTTCTCTCTCGTAACATGTTCTTCCTAATTTATCAACTGTCTTCGATAAAGTAAGACTCCTGACATAAGGGAAAAAAAAGGGCCTATAACACACGTCTTTTTGTAGGACAACTTTTTTGCGGGAATTGTCTTGCATGTTTCCTCACCAATCTAGTTGGAAGAGCGAGATTGCTACTCGGTTAGCAGTTTCCATTGTGGTAAAGGCCAACAAGACACAATAATGGCATGCATTGTAATTTGATGCAACTCCAAGGCTACTTGGCCTCATGAAATGGGGTCATGATGGAGATTTATTAAGTCCATTTAATTAGCATATGATCGATCTCGTTTCTTTTTGTTGACTACATAGTTTAACAACTAAAAGAATGGGCCATTTCTCTCTCTCTCTCTCTCTCTCTCTAATCATAATTAGGTTATTGCCTTTGTTGTATGACAAAATGCTTTTTCTAAAACAAAACAAAAATAAAAAGATAAACAAGCTAGGGCCAATAAGTTCATTCCGTTTAAATTTCCATCCTACCACTTATTATTTCCTAATATGAAGATATCTTATTGTTTTTGTTATTCTTTTCAATTTGGACCACACATATAGCCATATTTAGCAATCTTTTTTTTTCTTTTTCATTTTGTTATCTCTAGCTTGGAACTTCATAAAAATCATCATGATGATCAGTTGAATAATTAAATTTCTTTGACTTTTGGAAAACTATCTCATAATATATATGTCCATATATAACTGTGAAAATCTAACTGTTAAGATATTAATCTAAGAGTCTTGTTAGCTAACAATGTCACATGAGTACATGTGCATAATCAATGCATGGGTAGGCAACTAATCCATCTATCCATGGCAATGACACATCTCACTGCAAACAAACTGTAATCTACACACTTTATCTATTAATAGTCAAAGGCTTTAGAAGGTGAAGTGCTATACCCTTAGATTGATGAACCCCCTTATTAGTCTCTTGTTACTATAACCTTTGTCAATGGAGATGCCTCATATCTTTGACTAGGAATTTCTTAGTTCTCACAAGGTCATTATATATATATGTGTGTGTGTGTAGATGTAATCATCAAATATTATACGTGTAATGTGATGCTTGAAGAATTTGGTTTCTCTACAATGCCTTAGTTTTATATTTTATGTCACATCATGGGGATTTTGGGAAGAGGCAAGTGAAACCCTAGCAAAAGATATGATTGCTTTGTGCATGCGCAAGTGGAAGAGCAAATAGAAATTATAACATAGATATTCAATGAAAGTGTATTGTATATTTTAAGAGAAAAAAGAAAGATGATATAAACAATTAGTTCTACCGTGTGATATAAGTTGGAAGGTATGATGCAATATAGTGTTGGCTACTTAAGTAAGAAACCCTTTCCTTTCATTCCAGAAGCCACAGTTGTTTCATGATTGATTGTACCAGATGAATCAGAAAGACAGTTTCAGACCTTGTTGGAAATTATGTGGTTTTCAAGCCAAAATTCATTATCATTAACCAGCCCTGATTCAACTTTTATTGCATGATAGCTGTAACTTTATCAATTTTCTTCCTTTTTCCCCCTTTTGGTCTATATATGTTTAAGAAGACTATGTTCACTCTTTCTCTTCCGCGGGGGGTGGGGGTGGGACATGAGCAGCTGGGCCAAACCCCAGCAGTTAGAGAAGAAAAATATTATAATTGAGAAGAAAGACGAATATATTCACAAAACTCTTCATTGCCACCTATGCTTCAGTCCACAAAAAGAAAAACTATGTTCTAGTTTTTCATTAATTAGACTGTTTGAGGATATTGTATACATAGAACTGATTATTTAGGTTGTTCAATTCAACCTAATTAGATTAGTGTTTTAGCTTTCAGCAGTCTTATTGTGGCAGCTGCAATGTTATTTTGGGCTTTCTAAATTATTTCTAAAGAACCTAGTTAGTTCTTGTATAATCAATGCACCTTCTTTCTCTCAAACTTGCAAAGCCGTACACATATATAAATATACCTTAATGTGTAAAACATGAAAAAAGAGTAAAAAACTAAAGGTAAACTTAACAAGTAGGTCACAAGACTTTTATAATTTGCTTTATACAATGTTAAATGAACTTCATGGAAATTAAGCAGCTCTAATAATGTGAAATCATCTTCTTCTTTTTTCATAACTTGAATTACACGATATTAAACCAGACAAATGACCGAAGATTATTATCTTGATGCGGAAAATCAATCGTCAATGACAATGACGTACCGAGCATATCACATTTTGATGTTTTTTTCTTTATTAATAATTATGATGGTAGGAAGAGTTTGATCACCTAGGCAATATATGGAAATTTTGATTAACATGCATATATCACTTTATGTGAATGATATAAGAGCAGCATCTATGCCAAATTGACAGCAAAAGAGCAACAAGATTTCTCGATTTGAATTTTCATGCTTTTCCAAACAATTACATGGTGGCTTTAAAATCGAATGGAAAAATTAATTGGTTGTAAGTATCAAAAGAAATTCAAGCATAAGCAAAAAATTATTACCAATTTCCTTGAAGAAGGATGGCTAATTTATATATTGTTATTATATTTTATTATATGATCTAAATCAACTCAGTTTTTATTTAATAATAAAACTAGAGACCTCCGGAAATATCAGTGATAAACTTGGCCAAATGCACAAAAAAATCATATAAATGAATAAGAATATGGACCCCTAATCATTAAGAATTGATAAGCACTTGCTTTTTAACACATATTAATCAGCAGTAGCAAGAGTCAAAAAGGGCAGAGGAGTAGGGCTAGGGCAAAATGTTATGAGAACATATAATAATGAGAAGTAAAGGCTTTAAATTTATTACACAAACTTAATGGTAAAATAGTATACGTACCAACCTTTTAAAAAGCCAAACAAAACCATCAAAAACATCGAAAAACAAACCCTGAGTAAAAGCCCCAAAATTTCAGTGCTTGTTATGGATCGGTATGCCATAAAAAAAAATTAAGAAAAATAATGAATGAACTCAAGAAATATGGCACAGCCTCCTAGCTTCACTAGGTGCAATTCAATTCTTTAGTACTTTAGCTAGAGTACTTGTGACAAAAAGAAAAGAAAAATCTCAATCCCTTGATGATATCATTTGATCCAACTAGGTCCAAAAATCTTGGCAATCTTTTGCCAAATATTTTTCTAATATATATTACATAATATAATCAAAATATAAATTTATATTTGATGTATTATTTATGTATAAATTTAATATAATATATATTATAAGTTATTATTTTATCAATTTACTTTAAAATAATTAAACATTTAAAATTTAAAAATATTTATTTTAAGAATTTTAAAATTTTAAATTTGACAACCAATGAAATGATTGTGATGGATTGAAAATATAAAATATCTATAGAATATCAGAACATGAAATATAAACTCTATATATATCCCATGCCATGCTTTCTCTCTTTTTCTAACCCTTTAGTCATGGCTTATGGGACTTCAAAGCTTCTTAAAGCTACAGAAACACCAAATGAGGGTTTTCTTTTGCCAATAACCAAACCCTTTAGCATTGGGTCTTTTATAGAAAGAAGGGCAACCCTTTAATGTGTTATTATAATAACTGCAAACCACTTCAACAAGTCATTGAGGATTTCTCTCTCTCTCTTTTTTTGAACAGAGAAAACCCAAAAGCTCTCTCTCACTCTCTTTGATGGATATCAATCAAACAAAGCTCCCAAATCACACTTGGAATGTTGAAATGTCCATGGAAGATCATATCCTCCAAGAACAAGTTCCTTTGCATCCAATTTGGCCAAGCTACCCTCTTCAAACGCCATCCTCAACTGCAATATCCACACAAATACCGACTAGTGCAACAACTTTTTACAGTACTCATGACCAAATAGGCCACCTTGTTGAAGAGGAAGAAGAGCCAGAAGAAGAGCTAAGCGCCATGAAAGAAATGTTGTACAAGATTGCCGCGATGCAGCCTGTGGACATAGATCCAGCCACTATCCGAAAGCCCAAGAGACGCAACGTGAGAATCAGTGACGATCCCCAGAGCGTGGCAGCGCGTCACAGGCGAGAGAGGATAAGCGAAAAGATCAGAATTCTACAAAGACTTGTCCCAGGGGGCACCAAAATGGACACGGCTTCAATGCTAGATGAAGCTATCCGCTATGTCAAGTTCTTGAAGAGGCAGATTCGGGTGTTACAACAATCCAATAACCATCAGCCACCACCATCCCCTGTGGACTGGCAAGTGACACCAAATAAGCCTCTTGTTTCCACCTCCTCAACCTCCCTGGAGACTCAGCCAGGCCCTGGATTCACTTTTGCTGACAATGGGGGAAACCCCTTGTGCTTTAATCATGAGGTAATTAGTGATTAATGTCTCTAAATCAACATGTAATTGTTGTATTAATGATGATATTAGTGAAGAGATGTATATATAGAAATATACATTAAGATTTTATATAGAAACAATGTAAGGTTTTAGGGGGGTGTGAGGGAAAAAGGGTTTGTTATGATTTTGTTGATTCATGTGTGGAATAATCATAACGGTTAGCTTGAGTTACGTAGAGCCTTATATAAATATACAATATGGTTATTGAAGAGTCTAAAATGGCCGGAAAGTTTGTTTGGGCGACTCCCTTTCCGGGAATAAACACAGTGACGTGATAAAGCTATTGAAATCATTGTTCTTTCCCTTCTCTTTCTGCAATACTATATTATTTTTGGCTGTTTGAAGACATCAGCACATGTATGCAAAATGCAAATATACTTTGTTTATATATATATATATGCATGAATACATGTGACATGGAGAAGAAAAAAGACCTCCTATATAGGACAGTACTTAAACCCTAGATGATTACAAGCTAAAATGAAAATGAAGAAAACTTGACCCACCTCTTGGGCTTAATTTGTTAAATTGGTAATGATGGGTGTAATTTGAATCGCCAGAGATCTTATGTTTAACAGCAGTACTCCCTCTTATATCGGAAAAGAAATTGAAGAAAACCTCGCTAATTTAGCCCTTGGAAAAAGTATATATTGCATCCTATATATTTTTCCTTATTCTTTTTAGTATTTCTTTTTCTCGAAGACTTGGCAGCCAAAATATGATGAAGATAAAACTTCCTCGTGTGTTTTCTCAATCATTGAAAAATAAGTTTTAATAATGTTCATTTACATGAAATTAAAGAAGTTGATTAGGATTGCCATATATATATATATATATATAAATATAAATATAAGCCAAATGAAGCTTTTGGTTCCCCTTTTTACTTTCCTGCTTGCAAGATAAGGTGATACTATGAGGTCATTACGTTCTTCTTCTAGCTATATGTAATATTTATTCTACAGATGATCGAAAATATATATGTAATCTGTTAAAGAAATAGTTCTGATTTGAGTTAAGATCAGTTATTCCCTGTTCTTGATCCACTTTACCATCACTTTAGAGTTAGATTCCGCAATTATTTATTTCAATCAAATGTAGCTGTATAGAAATACCAATTAGCTGATTCTTATACATAGCCCATCCGCACAATGATATATGGACAGAAGGTGAGCATCAAAAAATATGTTATATATAAGGAGAAGTTAACTTATGAGTCCATTGTTGTACTTTACAAGGGTTCATATATTTGCTTAATTACTTGTTAGATGCTACTTGAATAAAAACCTTATATTCTTGGATTAATTTTAATGTAAGTTTTTTTAAGATTTATTTTTATATTTTTTTACTTGAGGTGGTCAAAAAATTGAACTTTTAATGCTGAAACTAAGGGTTTAATATTTTACTAATAGATGATATAATTGTTGGCTTTGCATCTTGTTTTTACTTATGCCATATATATAATGGCATTTACAATAATCAATTTCGTTCTTTTTTTTTGTTTATATTTAAGGTTGTCATAATTAAATATTGAACATTAAAATTAAGAGTTTAATATTCTATTGATAGATCATTCAATTGTTGATTTTAGTATCATTTCTACTCATGCCATACAATCACATTTCAATTATTAGTTTCAGTCATTCAATTGTAAGTTGTAAGCATGCTCTTTTTAAGGATAATTTAAGTTGTCAAGAATTTAATCTTAATCATTAAAACTAAAAGTTTAGTACTTTATCAACAATTCAAATAACTATTAATAAATTATGCTTTCCTATGTAATAAATCATAATTATGTTTATTCCAACTGCAACTCTTTTTTGGTTTAGTAAGATATATATATATATATATATATATTAATTTTTCATGACCAAGGAGTGACTTCCAACTTTTTTTTCGAAAATAAGAAAACTTTTAAACATGTCTCTAAACATTAGATTCAATAGTAAATTTAAGCTACCATAATTTTTTATGTTCAAACTTCGAAGAGTTTGATTAAAACAAAAAAAAAAAACTTAAAAGAGTCAAGTTTCAACTCCAATTTGCTGAATTAAAAAAAAATGTTCTAATGATTTTTATGCTAAAATGGATAAACTATCTACACTAAAAGTGAAAAAGATTAAAAAAAGACTATTCTGTTGAAAAAAAGAATTATGTAATTAATATTAATTTTAAGACAATACAGGAAAACGAAAAAAAATTATTTTTACAAAGACAAAATTACATAGACGCCATGTCTTTTTTTTTGGTACCTAAATCCCGAAGCATGACACTTTCCCCAAGCTTAAGCAGGATAATAAAAAGAAGGCCATAAAAGGATATTGGCCAGAAGGCAGAACTCTTTACTTTATTTAGTGGCCACTTCTTATTAAGATATGGTTTCCCATCCGAAGTCTGTGCTGCTGTTAAAGGATTTGTTGCTTTGTAGTTCAAATAGGTTGCCATGGATATACTTGTTCAAATAGGATGACACGGGTACCCAAGCCCCAATTCTATTTCCTTGATGAATTGGTACACGCGCCCTGGCCTTGTCTTTCCAACTACTTATTAATTTATTATTATGTTCATTATAATGCCATTATATTATTCTTTGTCCAGCTTTTGTTTATGAATTTTCTTTCCTATATTTTCATGTCCTCCTGTCTCTTTCTTTTAACCACCTCCCGATCTCCTTCGTTTCGCAGCCCACTTATCTCTCCCATTTCTTTCCATTGAAGCGTTCTGTCAATCCTCTCTTCACCTTTCTCTTTCATTCAATGCTATATTTCTCTCTAACTCTGCCTTCATTCACCAGCTAAGTAAGATCTGTTTTTTCCCTCTTAAATTCATCCAAGATTATTGGATTTCTCTTTTTTTTTTTTTGAATCTGGGTTTGTTTCTATTGAGATTTGGGAAAAAACCCATTTTGTTTTATTGGCCATTGTTGCCAAATGAGTTGTTATAAAGGTGATAGCTTTCAGCTTGAATTTTTGAAAGCGCTGTAATTTGAGTATTAGATATGCATTGATATGTTGGTTTCTTTTTACTTGAATGATTTACTTTTCTGTAATGTGTTGCTCTACTTTGAAACTCTTATATTTCTGTGAGGTGAATGTGAGGTATTGATTTGAACTGATGTTGAAATTTTGTCAATAGATAGAGTGGTACTTATATTGGATCAATTCTATAATGGGTTTAAAGTTGTTTATAGGGAAAAGAGTTAGTGAAGATCTTGAAGTTATAATCTTTTCATTATGGATTGCTGTTTTGATTGGGAGTTTGTTGAATGCTGGTCATATAAGATGGTAGAACAAAGATGCTTATTTTCAGGAGTGGTACTTTGAATATATTGGCGTTATAAATTGATTGAGATGGTGAATAATTTTAGTAGGAGTACATCATTCAACCGAAGGGCGTTGAATGTTGAAAGCCCGAGATTTTTGAGTATTCCAAGCCCCAGAGCTTTGCATGTTCTAAGCCCTAAACCTTTGGGATTCGCTAGTCCTAGGGTTCATCATAGGTTGGCCTGGGTGTCGCACTTGTTTCCTGTGCTTCTTCTCATCGGGGCTTTGATTTCATTTATTATAGTACTTGGTGGAGGTTATATGTATGTTATCCCTAGTCTCAGTCAAGCATTTCTTGGATATGATGTTTTAAAGTTCAATGATTCCAGCAATGTTTGTGATTTTTTTTATGGAAGTTGGGTTATAGATGATGGTTACCCCTTATACAATGCTTCAGAATGTCCATTTGCAGAACAAGGATTCAATTGTTTGGGAAATGGCCGGGAAGACAAAGATTATCTAAAATGGAGGTGGAAACCAAAAAATTGTGATATTCCAAGGTTTAATGTGCACAATGTTCTGGAAATGCTTCGAGATAAGAGGATTGTTTTTGTTGGAGATTCTATGAGTAGAACACAGTGGGAATCATTGATATGCTTGCTCATGACTGGAGTGGAAGATAAGAAGAGTGTTTATGAAGTTAATGGGAATAAGATAACAAAACGGATCAGATTTTTAGGTGTTCGGTTTAGTTCCTTCAATTTTACTGTTGAGTTCTTTCGCTCAGTTTTCTTGGTGCAACATGGTTGGATGCCTAGACATGCACCAAAGCGTGTTAGGTCAACCCTTAAGTTGGACAAATTGGATGATATTAGCAATGAGTGGATTAATGCAGATGTTCTCATATTCAACACAGGACAATGGTGGGTACCAGGGAAGCTCTTTGAAACGTAAGTTGCCTTCAGTCTATCTGTAACTAACATGATGAGATATAATTAAATTCATGTTGATTTCTAAAGCAATGTGTTCAAATTTGTGGGTTCTCATGAATGATTTTGATGGCACATACAAAGCAGTTCTCTAGTCTCTGTTATGATGCCATTTTCCAAACTTATATAATTTGTGTAAATGATGCTCTATATTTTGGATTATGCATTTTTGTCCATCTTTCAAAGTCCATATGATGATATGAATGTTACTGATCTTAAAAGGATTTTTTTTTTCTTTCCTTTCCCCTCTTTTCCTTTAATTATAGTAGGGGAAAACTAGCAGTGGCTACATCATGTGGATGGTTTCCTAGGTAGTTGTATTATATATACTCTTTGTATTTTCTACTTATTGTGTACCATTTATTGTATTGTCACTTTTTCCTATAGATGTGAGAATTCTGACAGTGAAGGATGCCTTAGTGCAGGAATACTTACCCTGTTGCACTCCACAATCAGGGCAAATTATGAAACTGACAATCTTTCTTTGCAAATAAGAGTATTTTAGTGTTTGCTTCAAGGAGACTAATATGAGTTGTGATTTGTCCACATTCATTAATAATATTTATCTAGTTTTTTAGGTTGTGATGATTCAGTCATTTGGTACTGCATCCTTTGGCTACAAAGTGAATAATATGAGACCAAATTTTTATAATATAGTAATAATTACGGAAAATGTTTCATTGCTTCCACATGAATGCTTATGGCACTTCTTTTTCAATTTGAATCCTACAAGCATTAAGCTTGCAACCTCTGCCATTTTTTGGAGGTGGGAAAGCAAAAACCTTTTTCCTCATGGACAAATAGATTACTGTTCTTGTACCCTTCCCGAAGTGAGGATTAAAGTCACTTCAAAATATACAATTCAAATGTTATAAGAGAATGCCGATAGGACAATAAGAAAATAGTTCCTGATTACCTTCATGTATTTTTTGTTCTTACTTTTTTCCTTCTTGCAGCTTGTTTCAATTAAGGTTTCTCTTTTTGACTGCCTCCTCTAGTTTAGCTTCGGTGTACTTGAAAAGAATAATGGTATATGAAATCCTTGATCAATAATTACATCATCTTACAATTTTGAAAAACTCAAAGTAGGTATCAGTTCCTATCCCTAAGTTGCTCAAAGCAAAAGAAAAGAATAGTTAAATTGATGCTTGAAATATACAATTCAAAATTTTCTAAATTGAAAGAGAATCCTGGTGGCACTTCACTGCCCTTTATTTTATTCTAATGTTTACTTGTATGCTTGATTTGAAAATGTTCTTTTTTGGCCATGCAGTAACCAATGAACTTACTATGACTAGCACAGGAGGCGTTTTCCAGATGCTTTTATATGCAACATGTAAGAAATGTTACTAAATTACTTCTTTGGCAGTGGTTGCTACTTCCAGGTTGAAAATTCAATAAAGCTTGGAATGCCAATTCCTGCTGCATTCAGAATGGCATTAGGTACTTGGGCATCATGGGTTGAGAACATGATTGACCCAAACAGAACAGTTGTCTTTTTCCGGACATTTGAGCCATCACACTGGAGGTAATCAATGATACCATGATGCTCTTTCTTCTGTCCTTTTTTCCCTTTCATCGAGCATAATATTGGGGGAAGGGAGGATTTGAACCCATCTCTTTGAACTGAGTTGCACCATGATTCTCTTTCAAAAAAACACATTACTCAAAATGAACTCCTTTTACGTGCTAAAATAAATATGTTTTATTCCTAATTTTGAACTGTCCTCTTGTCACCAGCCAATATATATAGAAACTGTCCTCCTGTTTATTCTTCATTAATTGAATGCCATAATGAGCTGTTCTCTCCCTCTCTTTCTTCCACTTCCCTCAAACGGATATAACGTTGCAGCATTTGCTCTGTGTCAGCAAACAACCCTGAATTGGCTGATATGTACAATTTGAATAATTTCAAAACTTCATTCTGTTTAACAGTTTCCTAATTATTCTTCTGATGAAAGGCTTTGGAGTTGAATCTATTTCTTGTTGGTTGCTGATGCAGTCAACCATCTAATACCATTTATCTATATATTATCCATTACATTGTTTGCTTATCTGATTAATTTCAAAATGAGATACGTTTGTCAATTTACAAAACATTAATATTTTTGGTTTCTGCATTAGTGAAAAATCCCGCAGGTTTTGCAATGTGACTCAGAATCCATTATCAGAAACTGAGGGGAGAGATCAAAGCATTTTTTCGGAGACTATATTCGAGGTGATAAAGAATATGACTGTTCCTATAACTGTTCTGCATGTAACTTCCATGTCAGCTTTCCGAAGGGATGCACATGTAGGTAGGTGGAGTGACAATCCATCAATACCTGATTGTAGCCACTGGTGTCTTCCCGGCGTACCTGATGTCTGGAATGAAATTTTCCTCTCATACCTGCTTGCTGATTATGAACTTCCTGTAGTGAATGGAGAATAGTGTGAGTACATTTCCTTTCTGATTTCACTTCCTTCCACCTTTTTCAGTTATAATTTTATACACTGCCTGTATACTCATGTTCTAGGATGAATGTGAATCCTTAGAGGCTTGATGAATCTATCCCTTGGAGAATGGCTTGTGCTAGTGTTCCTTTATTACAATGGTTTTTAAGACTTTTATTTGTTGTTAATTGCTTCTGAAAATCCATTCCATCTCCACCAGCAGCAGAGTTAGGAAGGAAAACTTTGTATGTCTTTCATTTGGTAACAATAACTTGAATGAATTCTCTCAATGATTGATGCAGATTGGATAAGCAAGCACGATGATTGAACTCTGGTCTGCATTCACCTCCTCTCTGAACTCGAAATTAACATGGATTGAAATTTCTGGCCTCACATTTAAGACCTATAATCCTATGGGAACCAGTATGACCAGTCTGCAATTCTTGAGAAATCCCCAATTTTTTATAGTGAAGATGTAGAGTTGCACCATAAAGCAATTTGTAAGAGAAACTATATATATATATATATATATATATATATATATTTCCATTCTTTCTTGCCCTTTTCTTACCTTTTACATCTGAGAAGCGGCCAAATTTGGGTATTCAAATGTAACTAGTTTATCCATATCTGTTCAAATATAAAAATTTTGATGATTCACCACATAAAGAGAGACTTTGTTGTTGTATTTGCTATTACTGTTGTTTCAACATACTGTCGCTAAGATCATATATTCAACTCTTGACATATTTGTTTCCGTTTTATTCTGCGGCCGTATGATAAGAGTGGCCCAATCTAATCTACTCACTGCAAATCCAAGGAAATGAAATAATATTCATAGTTTCAAGAAAGTTACGACAGATCCTCTGGTCCTACAATCTTATTAGCTCATTTTGTCACTTTCAAAAGATTGCAAATCTCCAGTTAGTCAATGGAGAAAGTAGCACACAAGTCAAACCTCACAACGCTAGAAAACCTCCAAAGGTAATAGATCTAGTGTTTTTCAATGCAATCAATGACAACTCAACAACAATCTTAGCATGAACGAGGCAGCAGCAGTTATCAATGTACTACAAACTGGCATCTATATATAATAGTACGTGCACTTCCTCCATCTCAGACTACCCTAACAACAGCAAAAAGAAAGTCTATCAGCCGCTTCCATAACCATCCCTTTCTCACATACCAATAGCTTGTATTAAAACCAATTATTTTCCATGTTTTCCTCTGCCGCCACCACATGATTATCCTCCATCTCCTCCAAAAGTACTGCCACCACCTCCGAAGTTGACGCCTCGTTATAAACCTCCAACTCCTCCAACTCCCAATGTGGCATCACCCCATTATATTCCAAACCCTCCCAAAGCGCAACCACCTCATCCTAATGCCCCATCCTTCCCCCACGTACCACCATCTCCCACCAACCCTTCCCCCCCAAAGGTACCTCCACCGGCGCCACATAATCCATTCTATCCACCACCACCAACTACTGCAAAACCACCTCCCTCTCCTATTGTGACACCACCACCTCCACCGCCAGCACCCGGACATCATTCAACTGTAATAGTCGTTGTATTTGTTTCTCTTGGCGGTCTATTCTTCCTTGCGTTCCTCTCAGTTGCTATATGCTGCTTCATTAAGAAGAGAAAGAAGGAAATGGTTCAAAAAACAGAAACAATTAGCATAGACGAACATGTGAACCTCTAGGAAGTCATTGCAACAGGCCCTCATGCTGAACAAAACGCGGTATTACTCAAAAAAGACGATACTCATGCTGATGAAGAAATCAAGAAAAATAAAAAGACTAGTGTAGGAAAATCACATCCACATGATCTCAATAAATCTTCACAAGAAAATTCTCATTCTCAAGCTTCCGATGCATAAGGCGGCAGCAGATCCTCCTGGCCCCACTCATCATCACCATCTTAAGTTGTTAAAATCAATGGCATCAGAACCAAATTAATTGATGCTAGCATATTACGCTTCATATATTTCGTTATAATAATCCTGCCATGTTAAAGGCATTGAAGATTTTTATTCTATTCTCCATATTTTCTATAGTGTTTTGATGGAATAAAAAATTAGTAATGTATACTCTTTTGCTTCTTAATTAACAATATCAAATTAAAGAAGATTGATGTGAATGTGAACTAAAATGATGACTGCTGATTTACTCAGACTACGTAGTTTTTTTAAAAGTGAAAAAATTTCAACTCACTATTTAGTTTTAAATAATTTGTATAACACGTTAATTAAGAAATAATATATATTATAATTAAAATTAAAATCTCGACATTTATTATTATTTTTTCTATCATAAGCTATAACATCCTTTGTACTAAAAAAATTACAAATTTTTTTATAAAAAAATCTCATTATTTTTGTCTCAAATATTTGTACTTTTAATATAATATATCATGTAACATAATTTATTTTTTTAATAATATTTTATATTAGCCGACATGCCAATGAATAGATAGATTATATCTTTGAATTTATTTGATAATTGTATGTACGGTTAAAGAGTGCAAAATTTAAAATAAAATTGGCAGGATAAGTAACAAAACTCTTCCTTTAATTCAAGAGAATATTTTTTAATAATGTGGAGACAGGCATCTCCAGATTTTACTTCAGTTTAACCTCTATTTCAGGTGATCATAAGAACTAATTCTCTCACAACCACTTAATGCATTCAAAATTTTACTTCTAAAGTACTCTTATATAGACCTTGGTTGAAAAAAAAAGAAAAGAAAAAAGCACTCCTCTCCTTATCAAGATGAACTCTTGTACGTCTTTATCAGGTTACCATTGAGGCAAAACTTGGCCACCCTAGCTAGCATTATGATTTGAGTTAAGACTCGGTAGTGCAAATTATTAAAATATCAATCTAACAAAGATATATATACTTCTTAAAATCGAAGTTCACTTCTTCCCAACAAAAACATTGCAAACAAACTCAAAAAAATTAATCAATGGATCGTTATCGGATTGATCTAACTATCTAAGCAAAAAAATGGGTCAGCTAGAAAGTTAGGCTCTTATTAATTTGCCAGTTTTATAAGAACTAGTTTTTTTGTATTTTTTATTAGCATTTTTGAAAAATATGACATATTGCAAATTTACCCAAAATGGAGCTTGTATGTAGTCATTTATCACATAACAAAACATTGACAAATTGAATTCCATAATTAGTTTTCTCTTGAAAATTTTTGAGTTTGTATTTGATTTCGTAAACATATTAACACACATAAAAAAAAAAAAAAAAAAAGGCATTGAATTCCATAATTAGTTTTTTCTTGCTAATATTTGGAGTTTGTATTTTCATAAACATATGAACAGAATAAGGGCTTATTTGATCAAACTAAAACTTCAGAAGAAATAGAATTTAAAACTTCAGAGTTAAATACTATAAAAAAACAGAAATAAGCTAGTTAAGTAATTATTGTGAAAGCTATATAAATAGAGTTGAAAATTATAATCATGCAGGTGATTTGATATTATGATTAGAATAGCTAAAACCTAAATAAAGAATAATTATTTGCTTAATGAAAACATAAAGATGATGATGAAATATATAATGTCTTATCTCAATACCATGAGATAAAGAGAAGAAATAGTAAATAGATAACAAAAACGTGCTGGCTCTTCACTTTTCATTGCTTTCTTTCTTTTTGTGCAAATAAAAGACAATAATATGAATCATGCAGGCAATCTTTCTCTTCAATTTTTGGGTTGTCTAAAAAGAAAATGTTGCCTACCAATCTCTTTTATACTTTTTTCTCATTCAAAGCAAAACCTAATTAATCTTTCTGTTGTTTGAAGGAGTCGAATTCATGTTTTTACTGGGGTTGTTCATTAACTGATTTAATTTCTTTTTGTTATGGTTGCTTGACTTGTTAACAATTGCTATTAGCCATTCGAGCTTAAGTAAGAAATCATTAAACAAAAAAAAAAAAGGAAAAAAATCCACTTGTGTACAATAATGTGTCCATTTCTTTTGCTAATTTGTTTGATATCATAGTTGTCTTGTTCAGTTGAATGAATGTATTTTTGAAGTTACTAACAGCATGTATACTGCAATTTTTCACGAACCATAGGTTGCATTCAATTATGTATACCATACATGATACATCCAGTTTTAAACGGATGATAACCAATTCAGCACCTTGCAGATGGAAAGCTTGGCATATCAACTGCAGAAGATTGACCGATTATAGCATGACAAAATCATGGATCGATTGCCATGGGAGTAATACGCCTCTTGGCTGGCTTATTTGAGATGGGAGCATTCATCAAACTCGGTGATGCCTGTTTCCCTTCTAACCTTTCTGTACATTCCGCCTTTGTGTTATCTGCCGTAATTGAATCATCAACTCTGGCAGCTTCAATCACCATGTCATCAGGTTTATGTACAATGGGGCTCTTGTTCTCAACGTTCATGATTTTAGGTTCTAGAAAAGAAACTTGTCAGAAGCAATTAAAGGCCAAAGGAATTGAAAATTGGCAGATAAATATAAGAACATAAATGAAGAAACAACACCAAACCTGAAAAAGAAATGGGTAGTCCCAGTTCGTCCTTCTCAAATTCTACCAAAGTACAGTAACCATCTTGAGATGACAATGCTAAATAACCTGCGTCATATGACCTTTCAACAACAAATAAAAGTAGCCGCTCAGAACTCCAAAATGGTAAAACTCAATCAAAGAATGATAAACATTAAACTATCTATGTCATAATACTTACCATGCAATGTCAGTTATCACAGCATAATGAAGACCAGCCAAAATTGCTATTGGAGGAATACTCTCTGTATCGTAAATATACAACGAATTCAAAGTTGCAACAGCAAAAACAATGCGGTAAGGAAGCTTGAAAAAGCCAGCTGCAAAGTTGACATACAGAAATCAGATAACCATTTAAATTCATGGTGGCCTCCGAAACAATGAAGCATAATCAGCCCAAGATACCTGGGTTTGATGCCCGAAGGTTGAAAGCTAAAGGGCAGAAACGAACTGCAACAACTGGTTTGCTAGCACTAGGGAGCTGCAAAGAAGGTCTACCACCCAGAAATAACAAAAGCTAATGTAAATAGAATTCAGTCCAAACAATTTAGGTGCCAAAATTCTTACAGTAGAGTGAATATGGCTGATTATGCACTTGGAAATGAAGATTTCACTCCTCCATAGTGACAAATAATAAAGTAAATGTCTTTACCTCGAAAGGTCCTTTCTGGAAAAGACATAACTAGTGTTTACTGTTTCAGTTGAAGCTGACATTTTATAAGAACCTGCAATGCAAGAAATGTCAAACAAAATGCACTGCTATCAATGGAATTGGAACAAATGCAACAAGTCCATGTTCTATAAAGTATAAATGATGTGAGGAGCTACAGTTAAATTCTGTAAGTGAAATTGGTTCAGAACTATTAAGGATAGAACTTTAAATTACTGCCCACAAATGACAACAGGGAGAAGGTTAGTAAAAAGACAAAATAATTTAACCAGACTGAAAAAGAATAAAACTATAATGATAAGTATTTAATTGAACTGGACATGCATTTATGTCAATACCTGCTGGCACTAGTAAAAATGATCCATCAGGTGACCAGGCTAATCGACGGAAGAATGATGGCAGTGTTTCATCATGAAAGAGGTGGTTTTTTACAGACTGTATCTCAAACCACGTGTGAAGTTAGTTATCGGTGACAAATATATCTAGAATACAAAAAAATAACAAGATAGTTTCAACCTTAGCATCATCTGTCGATTGCTGTTCTGCCTTGACTATGGTATGCTGACAGATATAATTCAACTTCTCAACACCCTTTGTTTTGGTTTGAGGCTTATTGACATAAATTCGGCAAGTCCTATCAGAACTTAGAGAAGCAACATACTTGGACAAGGGATCCCAGGCAACACCTTGGACATAATGGAAATGACCATCCAATATCTGATGGACAGAACCTGAATATTATAAAAAATAATAAGCATGATGATGATAAGAGAACAAACAATATCAACATATTCTATATTCTCTTTTTTACCTTTGTTAACATCCCATATGATGCAAGAATTATCAACAGATCCAGAGATGAGAAACGCACCATCAGTTGACCATTGCAAGTCTAGAACATCTTTCCGGTGAAATCTAGGCATGAAGCCCAGTCACGAGCACAGAAATCACACCAACAAAATTAGACCATAATAAAAGCTCCTAAACTGGAAAATTTACATCAATATAAACAATCTAATAGGTGAAGGAAAAGTCAAAAGTCTTTGGGTGAATAATGTTAGCTTAGACCTCCGGTCCCTACCAGCTTTGTAATCACCATTTTTACGTTTGCTTTTATGTTGATATAGTCTACTTCATGTTTTCATCACATTGCATTTATTTGTTATTTTTCAGAATATAATCAATTTGATACAATTATATCTCAACCACAACAATAATTAAGATTCAACCTATAAGTTATTAATTGAATAATAAAAAGAATGGTTTTAATACAGGGAACATTCATCCTAATCAAGATTTCAGCTAAACGCCAAAGTGAAAAACCAAATTGTGAGAAATAACTATCTTATAGAAGCTTTATAATACATTAGATTAAAGGCCTTACAACAGACTCTTGAAAACTTTCCAACTTTGACCAGTTTCTGTAGCGTGCAATTTCCATATGATCAGCTCACCTCCTGTCCCATAGAAAATTCCTTTCAAGAATTTGCTACCACTACCATACTTTATTAACAAAAGAAAAGAAATCCTAATCATATGATCAAAAAGTCATACCATCAGCACCAGAGGCAAGTTGTTCTCCTGCAAAACATAACTGGGCAAGATTATCTCCACTATCGAAGAGAATCACAAATTTAGATAGCATAACAATTATTTGTATCTTAGATAAACACATGGCTTCAAAGAATAGTCATAAATTTACTAAAACTAGGAACGACATTTATTTTGAAAGTTATAAACAGAGTGCAAGAAGACATTTGAAAATTGGAACAACAATCAACTTCAGCTCAAGTTACCTGTTGCTAACACACAAGAACAATTCAATCAAAATCATACTACGAGAAAAGACTGAAGATTTTGAAATTCAGAACTTTACACAATAGGTCTTACATTTGATTTGAATACACAACTCGAGTAGTCTATGCGCAATGAGCCTAAACATATAATCATCGGGGAATTTCGATATACAATAAAATTTATGAGCTGAAAGGAAGGGTTTTTCGTGTATTACCGGAGGGAGAAAACCGAAGGGCATTAACAGCGGAGCCATGGTAAGAAAGACTACTTTGATATGAAGCAGATGGGATTTTCTTCTGCACTTTGCCTGAATTAATCAACCATAGCTGAAAAGTTCAATAAATAAAAACAATAATCTAGTCAGCCTGGCTTGACCCACAGTTACTAAAATAAAATTGAACTTAAACCCGAATCCTTTGCCTAAGATATTGTTTAACACCGCATTTTGATTGAAGAAACTAACATACTTCCTGATTATGGACTTAAGAAATAAAAAGTGACTTTAAATTAAAAGAAACGAAAAGACTGGATCTATTAAAATGAAATAAGAAATAAACAAATGTTACAAAGAGAAAAGAACCTTGATATCAAAATCGGCGCCGCCGGTGGCGAGAAGACAGGAGATGGGGTGGAAGTCTAGGGTTAGAACGGGTTTGGTGTCGTGCCAATTTATCTGAACTGTGCCTCCTTTCATCTTTGTTTTTTTTGAAATTGTAAAAAAAAAATAATAATAAATACAAGTGAAGGGTCTGTGTTTTAGGGTTAGGTTTGAGAGAGTGAAGAGTAAAGAAGAGAAGAGGAGGGGATGTGTTGGCGCCTTGCTTTCATTTGGCGGGAAATGATACGCCCTCTTTCTCTTTTCACTGAAACTTAACCGTGTTTGCACATTTTCTTCTTTGTTTTCTTTAGGACTAATAACTAATTTGTCATTATATTCTAACTCAATATTTTAAACTAAAATTAGTGTCTCACTCCTCCGAAAGGCAACGGATCGAATCGGATAAGATTTTTGTTCTCTCCGCACCAACTTGATTATATTTATAAATATATAAAACATTTAAATTTGATTCGATTTTATTTTTTTTAATTTGTTTATATTTTCGATCTAATATTATATAAAATCATATCTAATTCGATCTTAAATTAATAAAATATTATTTTTTAATATAAATATAAAATTAAATAAATATAAATAATTAATTAATTAATTAAAAAATAATTTATATGTATATTGAGTTGAGTAAATTTTAATTTGTCTAAAATTCGACTTCAATTTTTTTTTATCATTTGATCTGATCTGATTTGATATTCAATTAAAAAAAATTAACCCTATAAGATTAGGTTAGGTCAAAACTCGTTGTATACGAATCAAAACACGTTTCCTACTCACTCTTCTTTGATTATTTTTTAATATAGTTTATATTTGATCAAATAGTATCAATTCATTAATAAAATTAGTTTTTTTTAATTAAATACTAAAAATTTTTTTGAATTATTTTATTTTTCTTAAATAATCACTATATTTTTATTGTATTCAAATAAAGTCTTATACTTTGATTTTTATACAAATAAACTTTTATTTCAACTTAAAGAATGATTTATATTAAGGATTTTTTTAGATATAAATTAAAAGTTTAAAATATTTATTTGGATACAAATTAAAAATTAATAATTTATTTGAGTGAAATTAAAAATTAAGGACTTATTTGAATGCACTAAAAATATAAAATTTTAACTAAGTAAAGTTGTAAAGTTTAAGGGTTTTTTTTTTATTATTTTAGCTTAAAATTTTAATTTTTGATTTTTTATTTTAAAGGTTAATAAAAATTTTTATTTGATTATTAATGAATTGACATTATATAATTCACTATAACGTATAAAATGTATACCTTGCATCAAATATAAGTTCTTTTTAATAAACGTACAATATTAGATTAATAAAAAAAAAAATAAAAAGAGATGATTATTGTAAAGTACTTAATTTTTTAAGTTATCAATTACATTATCAATATATAATTTCTCTTAAATAAATATAATTTATTTTTATTCGATATAAATTTATCATTGTATGTATATTAGTGTAGATGATAAAAAAAAAAAGCAAATTAAAGAAATATAAGTTTACTAAATGAAAACTTAATTTTATTTATTTTATCGCTTTTTTCTTTCTCAATAATATTTTTTGTTATATATTTAGAAGTTTGATAACATTTTTTTCAAAAGATATAATTATCTTATGAAATGTAAGTTAGATGTATGTATTTTAGATATCATAATTTTTGAAAGCTGAGATATAATTATGTAAAGAATGCTAATTTCTGTGTATAAATCTGTGTATAGCACGACCACAAACTAATTATTATAATAAATAAATTGAAGAAAGAAGAAATTGAGATAAAATTTGTTACACACAATTTTTTTTTAATAAAAGAAAATATATTATAAATACATGAAATGTAGGATTTGAATCTAATAGAACAAGTCCACATGATTTTAAACTAAATAAATTCAATAAAGAAGAAAATTGAGATTAAATTTGTTACACACTATTTTTTTTATTTATTTATGTTTGACATGGTTTTTTTTTTTTTTTTTTTTTTGTTAAGTTGCGAGTTTAAAATGATATTTTTTTCGAAGTGAATTAAAAAATAAAGATTAAAGGTTACAAGTAAATTAATAATTAAAAAAAAAAGTAATTGCTTTGTGTTTATCCCTTGCTGCAAAAGTTGAAGCTAAAAAGAGATTCAAGGTAAATAATGTATAAAACTAAAGTATATTTTTCTATAATCAAGCAAATTTGAAACAAGGTGGAAATTGTCGGACAAATGCTATCGGATCAGCTTATTGAGAGAAAGAAATCAGTTGCTAGAGGAAGACAGAATCAAAGAAAAAGTTAATTAAAGATTTGAAGAAAAATGCATCGTCTTCATCTTTTTTGCGCACTAAATTCAGTCCAACAGCTGTCCTTTTCTAATTAGACACAGACATTATAGAAAAGCATATAATAATAAGTGTAATAATAAATAATATTTATATTAATGGATCTAGCACTAGCTGTTGGCTGGCTTCCAAAAGGTCACGTTATTGGAACTCAACTAAGGCAACCAAATCAAAACAAAGGAAATTAACTTCATTTGCATCAAAAGGTTGTGACAAACCTAAAACATTAAAAACCAAGATTATCAATAATGCCTAAAACCACATCACAAATACGCTTTAAACCATCTTCTCTGCGCGCAATCTCTGGCGGATAGATCAACCTCGGATACCTTCTAAACGCGTTATGGCAAGCATTTGGATAATCGGCGGCCGCCATTATATGCATGTAGGCGTAATCATATGCCTCCGACACAAAATCTTGAACAGAAGCTTGAAGAGCATCGCCCGCATGAGCATACTTGTCGGAGCATTCTTTCAGTACTTTCTTCAGGATTGTGTCATTTGCGGAACTAACCAATCGGGACGATAAGAAGGTTGATGTGGCTGTGGCATTAGCCATTCCAACTCCAATCATAATCATAGCCAAACCCTTTGTGTCTGAATTCACGCTCCTGGGATCGGATTTGAGGGAGGAGACACAAAGGTCATAGTACTTGGTGGTTTTGCAAGTTTTTTGGATTAAACCAGCATCTCCATTGACTAATGTTAATGCTGGGGAGACAAGAATAATGAAAAAGAAAAAAGAAGAGCCCATTTGAGAGGGTGATAATCAAAATTTGATATTGTGGGGAGGAAGAGAGTGAAATTTAGTGAAGCAAGGGGAAGCTAACAGGAGATTATAGTTGTTTTTTTTTTTTTGGGGATGTGGGGGGGGATCTATCAAAGGCTTCTTTCTGTCTGTGGTAATGGTTGCTCTGTATGGTCACAAGACAATCGCACGTAATTATAGTTGTGTGTCTTTCGTTCAATGAATGCAAGGGCTAAGGCTTTGTTTGGCAGCAACCCAAATGCCAAACTATTGGGTCACGGGGTACATACTGATAGATTCGTAGATCCACTGCATTTCCAATGTAATCGCATTGAGCTTCTGCAACTTAGCAACAATATTGTGAAATTGGAAGCCACATCACATCACAAACAATCTGGACTGGACCCACCAATAATTGCACCATTCTAACGATCTTTCATTAATTTTATGATCAAATAATCTATTAATTGGCACCACATTATATTAGTATTATGGACCTTTTAAGTTTTAATGTAGAATGTTAGATCCTCCCAAACCAATCAATGGATATGGTGATTCATAACTGTTCTCTTTAGTGCATGTACTTTTGTTTGTTTTTACATATAGGGGCAATGAAGCATAAAGTAGTTGTGGATTCAAATTTTGAATCTCATTAATTTTTTAAAATTACAACAATTTAATTGTACATTTAACATAAAAAATAGTTTTTAAATTTAACAATTTGAAGTTAATATTTGACTAATTCATATTATATAAACTAAATTTGTCTATGGATCGGGAAAAAAAATTGTTAGGCTCATGATTAAACTCAATGTAGTTGTGGAAAAAGATTTTCAAATTCTGAGTAAAAATTTTATTACAAAATAATTTTTGTAAATGGGCCGCCGTTTGATAGAGAAGCTTGATTTTGCATCATTGAGCATCCCCCCTCTGACAATATTGATCCTTGGGAGATCATACTTGTTGCTTACCTTAGGAGATCAGTTACAAATGAATACGAGAAACAATATACCTAGAAATTTTCAATCTGTATAATTATGATTAAATTAGATCCCAGTTTGCATATATGGAGTGAAGGCATGCATGTGTGCAGCATTTGAGAGACAACAAATAGAACAGAAATGGAATTTGTTTCATGTACAATGCATAAAAATAAAAACGTTTTCTTTCATCACCAAGCTTCAAATAAAAACAGTTGATACAGATGAAGTTGGTCTTCGTTCTGCCTTACGCCTCCATGCGTATGATACACCGGAGGCTCTCCCCACGAAGCATGTACTCGAAGGCCTTGTTGATCTCTGAGAAAGGGACTTCATGGGTGATAAATTTCTCCAGCTCAAGCTCCTGCATATATTACAAATAGTAGGGTTAGAGTTAGACATCATTCCGCTTTTAATGTTCCATACAGAAAATTTGCACGATATATACACACATATATATAGTTTTCCAGAGGATACTACCTAAAACTGAGTTGCTCTGTTTTACTCGAGTTCAAACATACATGGAAAGGGTCAAGTACTAAAAGTAATTAGGAAGGAAATTAAGCATACTTTGTTCATGTACTTTTCCACCACTGAAGGAAGGTCAGAGCGGGGCTTGTAGTTGCCAAAGAAAGTGCCCTTGAGAGTCCTTTCGTTCAACACATTCATGGGATGGGTTTTGAACGCATCATCTTTGTTCGGCACACCAACGAGTACAGCAACACCCCACCCCTGCACAAACGCAAACAAGTAAGGAAAAAACATATCCCAATATGTCAAACATGATAATCTCCATCTGTTAATTGCTTCATTCTACTTTCTATTTTCTATCAAGTCTACAATACAACAACATGAAGATGTATTTAAGGGGAATTACATCGTGGACACATTCAAACGCAGAAATCATGGCATTGATGCTTCCAGTACACTCAACGCTTCGATCAACTCCACCATTTGTCATTTCGGCTAGCACCTGGAAACAAGTGAGTTAATTTTGTGAAAAAAAATATTGTTTTTATTAATTAAATATATTATACCCTAAAGCAAAGGTTATGTTTTCACAAACCTCTTGAACGGGTTTGTCATGATCTTTCGGGTTCACAAATTCAGTGCAACCAAATTTCTTGGCTGTTTAAGATACACAAGGAAAACAAACATTAGAGGAAGCATTTACAAGGCAGTAAATCAAGAATTTCCTTCTGGGTTGAGGGTGTTTGTCAATAGTGTTCTTAATTTACCTTCCTCAAATCTCTTGGAGTTCAGATCAACCCCAATAATCCTAGCAGCGCCTGCAATTCTAGCTCCTTCAGCAGCCTAGTTATAAAGAACACAATAAAAATGTCCAAGTTAGCAGCCGCACGGGTGAATATTTAAACCATGATATACCAGAAGAGATACTCACAGCAAGGCCCACTGCTCCCAATCCAAAAATGGCCACAGTTGAACCCTTAGTAGGCTTTGCAACATTCAATGTGGCACCAAGTCCTAGAAAATGATCACAAATTAAAGGGGAAACGGAAATGTTAAATCAACTAACAAATTGGTAAGGTTTCTTTCTCACCTGTAGAGATTCCACAGCTGAGAACACAAACTTTGTCAAGTGGAGCAGTAGGATTGATTTTGGCTAAACAGCCAACATGAACAACAGTGTATTCACTGAAGGTAGATGTCCCAACAAAATGGTAGATGGGTTGTCCCTTAATAGAGAACCTTGTCTTGCCATCATTAAGCATCACCCCTCGGTCAGTGTTGATCCTTAGCAGATCACACATGTTACTTTCCTCTGACTTGCAATGACGACAGTCACCGCATTCTCCAGTGAAGACAGGAAGCACATGGTCACCAGGTTGAAGGTCTGTCACACCCTCACCTACACTTTCAACTATCCTATAAACCAATAGATGGATATCTAAATGAGTGTAAACAGATAACAGAATTTAAAACATCATTCCATCCATTAAAATGAACTTACCCCCCTGCTTCATGACCAAATATGCGAGGGAATAATGGAGCCTGCCCCTGTAAGATGACAATTAATTATATTAGTTCCAAGAACATGACTAATGATTAATGAATATTGCTTTGCAATGCCAATGAATCATTAAGAGGGTAATTACCTTGGCTTCCCAAAAGTAAACATCAGTATGGCAAAGAGAAGTGAAGAGGATCTTCAGACGAACCTCCATTGCCTGTGGTGGTGCCACCTCCACCTCTTCAATCACCAGTGGCTTTCCGGCTTCCCATGCCACGGCAGCTACAATTGCAAATTATTCCAATTAAAGTTTAAAGAAAAATATATACAATATGAGAGCAATAAGACCTTCCAGATCTTATCAAGAAAACAAAAAAAAAAAAGAATCAAGACAACAAAAAACAGTACAGGAAGAACCCGCAAGGCATGATCATTACATTAAGGACAAGCAGAGAGGTTTTCTTAACTGTAGTTAGGAAAATGGATGGCAAGTCCTATGACTTGGTATTGATCATTATATTTTAGACAAAAAAAAAATGCACAAATGATCTCGGAAACTCTTGGTACCCATTTTATCAAGCTGGTGATCCATTTATTTTTGGAACTAGAGTACTAGACCACTCAATCAGCTTGGAAGGAATGCAGTTCAGTTTTCAAAAGTGATTAACGTTTGTTTACTGGACCAACTATCTAGATATATAGAAAGGAAATCAAGTTTCTTGCTTAAGTTTACTTGACTTTGGTCTACAGTTAAGGCTTTGTTCGTATATATAGTATTCGAGAGGTAATTAGTTTAATCATTCCATCAGTTCTTCAGCCGTCAATTATCAAGCCTTGTCTAGTTAAAATTCCATAAGAAAGAAAACTACAGAAACAGATGAGATAAAAAAAGAGACTAATCATATCTAATTAGTCAAATAAAAGAGAAATGAAAACAGAAACAAATGAGTAAGTACCTTTGCAACGAATGACTTGACCAACAGTGCTTGACATATTTGCTTGGAAAAATATTAGCAATTGGTTTTTGCCTCTCTTAAGAATTCTTTGGAGAAGCCATGCTTTTGAGAGGGTATTTATAAGATACAACTATTGAGTTGACAAGGACATGCAGAAAAGAAAAGAAAAACCACCAACTTAACCGCTGTTTTGTTCCTTGGATTTTCAATTGATGGGTAAAGGCTGAAACCAGCAACCCAACGGCCCCTTCGAATTTCTGGTTTCCCACTTTCCACTTCTGGTTTTGTCCATTTTTTTTTTTTAGTGTCAGGACTTTGGAACCTACACCATACTACTGCTAGTTGTATTTTATTTTATATTGTATTTTATAGTAATATTTTATTTGGCTGGTAAGGCTAGCGGGCAACTAAACATAATTCAATATGCACCTTAAAGCCTGTGGCGCCTTTCTTCCTTTAGTGGGTATGGATTTCATGCACTTTCGTTATGATGCAGTTAAATTTATTTTATTATTATTAGTTAAATTTAAATATTAATTTAAATATAATTTATTGAATATAAAATTTTTAAAATTCTTTTAATTATAATTACATTATTTTTTTAAAATTAAAATTATTATTATTTTTAATCTCATTAAAAGTAATTTTTTTCGACTAAACCCTTAATTTCCTTACCGATAAGGGCTAATCCAACGCACTCTGCATTACTCTGCATTTTATATTACGCAGTGCATCACCGCTGACGAAAGTCTTAAAATTTTTTACAATTATTTTAGTACATTTGAAAATATTTTTTTAAAAAAATTGTAAGGTAATTAGAAAACATTTACAGGACCAAAACTATTCGTAGTTTCACTTTTATGTATAAAAATACGAACGGAAAGCTGTGATGCCATAATTGACCTTGACAATACCAATAAAACTTGGAAAACATGCAATTATTGTTTGTATAACAAACAGAGTAAAAATAATATTAAACAAATTAAATGATACAACTAGATGAGATACTTACTACCATATAAGATATGGAACCAATAATTATGGTCTGTGTTACTGTCAATCCGATTCTATCTGGGTGACTTGGGTCCTCCATATCAACTGAGGCCGGAACTTCGTGGCTGGAGTTAGAGGAAAATATTAAGGCTAAGAATTAAGTTTTGCTGTTGCTTTATTATACATGAGATTGGCAATGGAAGAAGCACTTCTTTTTGGTTGGATAACTGGCATGGCATCCATATGGCCCTCTCTCGCATTATTATTTATACTCAAAACTCAAAATATTATTATGATTACTTCTGGACTTGACAAACAAGTGAAAGTGGCTGCATGCAGTCATTAAAGGAAATGGATGGCTCTGGTGACTGGCCTTACCAGTCTACATCCCAGCCTTGGCTATCAATGCTTCTTCAGCCTTAGTAGCTCATGAAGCTACAGCTGTAAAAGAAGGGGTTACTTAAATTGGCTATTGACAGGAATTTTACATAGATGTGGTGATTGGAGACCGACTCGAAGCAGGTCTGCCAGACGGGTGGTACGATATGGGGTCTGTGGGCTTGAGAGATTGCTCCATTCATAGAGGATGTTTGCAGCTTTAAGATTCTTCTTTTATCAGATTCTGGTTTTTCTTTTCAGTGGGGCTTTTTTTTTTTCTTTTAAAATATCTAATTTGCTACAAACTGTGTTAAACATGTAGCAGCACATCCTGCTCTCTTTGGATATTAAAAGTCTTTGTTTATCCGAAACAAAGATACTTTACTATATAAGAGACAGTGTTCTCCTTTATCATTATGGAAATTTGTAAAAGACAATAATATTTAAAAAAATTTGAATTATTTTATTTTTTTAATAAATTTTTATATTTTTATTATACTTAAATAGGTCTTTATTTATTGATTTTTATTCAAATAAATCTTTATTTCAAATGAAAATTTTATTTATATTAAGAGATTATTTAAGCAGAAATTGAAAATAAAAAACTTATTTGGGTATAAAATAAAAATTAAAAACTTACTTGAATGTAAAGTAAATATTAAAGGACTTATTTGAACACAATAAAAATGCATGGATTTTATCTTACTAAAGTGAGAAAATTCAAAAACATTTTTATTATTTTAATCTATGTAAATACACTGAAAATACAAAACTAATTTTTTAAAAGGGTTTTGCATATCTATACATACTCAAAACAAACACACTTAATTTACAATCACTGAACTAATGCAATTCAATATTTATGGAGGCAAAGAAGCATATTAGGGAAGGCTTAAGAAAACTTGATTATTGGAAGCTAGATAGATTATGTCAATATTTTACAAGAAAGACAGTTTTGCAATAAGCAGACCTTAGTATCCTTGGCATCTTTGCAAAGCATTTACATAAATTTTTTAGATCAATTATTCAATTCAATCCAACACCACTCGCCATGTCGCTGTTAATCTCATGGAGTGCCTACTAGGAGTTGAGGGCTCCTGATTAGGCTAGCAGTATTAGCTGAAAACATTAGCATATAATTATTAGAATTTACAAGTTAATTACACTAGGGAAAAATAATTAAAAATAAACAATTAAGTTGGAATGGGAATTTTATCCAAATTACCATGAGTTGTACTGCTGCTGCTTTCTCTTGGTGTTACAGGAGGAGCACTGCAATATCTGCTACCCCAGCCAGACACTGGACTAGCTGCTCTATCTAGTTGTGAAGCAGGACAAATTCTGTCCCCAAAAATATAACCAAAAGATGTAGTTAAAGACAAGAAAACAGGAAACTTTAAGGAAATTTTGGGAAGAAAAACTTGGAGCTCATCCTGGTCGTCTATTATTTAGCAACTCAAGAAAAATTAAGAGTAAAAGACATATATAAAACTCTTTCTTTGTTTTTAATCCGAACCTTGCAGGACTCATTGGTGCATAAGGATTCCAAGCCCAGTTACGCATCGGCGTTCTCATGCCATCGTGTAAAGGTGTAGCTGTAAAAGAAAACATTATTGGACAATTTATAAAAGGATTTCTAAGTAGGCCCTAATGCAAATAGCAACTAAAGCATATAGTTTTTGCAAATGAAGCTCCCTCCAAGCACCTGGTTCTCTCATGGATTCACGCATACGCATTGGAGTCTCGCTTCCAAGACCATATTGGGGTGTCTCGCTGGCAAAAACAAATAAATTATATTGAATTAGTTATAATCCAGTATGATAAAGCAAAGGGAGAGTTAGAGGGATAGAGTATGAAAGAGAAGCAATTTCTTACCAGGTTGGGGTTGTAACTTTAACTTCATCAGAAATTTGGCCACGATCCACTGGACATACAATCAGCAGATATCACAGTCAATACCAGCAATACCAAAAAGATTGCCTCCACTTTAAGGCTCGAATTTAAAGTTTGGTCAGGACTCAAGGTGACTGGAGAAACTTGCCTGTTACAATCCTCATCTGAGACTCCAATTCAACTCGGACTGACTGACCTTTAACGTCTACAACACGACCATGGGATCCCTTGTACTGACCCTTGCAAATTTTCACCCTAGTACCAACAATGGAATCATGACCTCTTCTTTCACTTTGATATCTTGTCATCTGAACCAAAAAGCAGTCAAGACAATTCTGTTACTAACAGCAAAGTCTTTTTATACGTACCCATCATTCATAATCTAGGTCAATGGATAAAGTGAATTTCAACTGTAGGCACTCACATTGAGGACCTCCGGTATTTAGTGGTCTCCCTGAGGATTGCAGAATGCGGGTTGATGATCTTAAATGCGAAATGCATGAGTCCACGACATCACCCTGCAATATAAATGAATCAAAACATTACATTTTTTTATTTTTTTATTTTCAAGTACTTCTTTAGAAATAGGCTAAAAGATCTTTACTTTTATGCCACCTCCAGCGTATAAACCCTCCAAAACTATGCTTTAACACAAATAAAGCCTCCGTGCTCAAGATTATTGCGATCATTGATGAAGACAGTCTGATTATATATGTGTTAAACGGGTCCTTGTTTTCCCTAATAGAAAAGATAAAAATGAATCATTTTCCATATATATAAACAAAAACAATTACATTAAGATCAAGTCAAGGCTAGAATAAAAGAACTTGCTTTAAATGGTCCCTCAACAATCCTCACAACGTCTTTAACAGAGATTCTGTTTCTAAACTTGTCTTCTGCAGTACCCATAATCTCAATCTTGGAATTGATATCTTGGTACTTAAGAACTCCGACCTCAGCTCGCCCTGGAATTCCTTTTAGGACCTGAGAATGAAGTGATAAAAAAAGTATCCTTAGAGAGAACAAGGAACATAGAGGGAAACGACAGTGATGATTGTTGAAAAATTAATTTCGTGATAAGCTTTGCTATCCACTTGTATGATTATGCCAAAGCTGGCATCACTGCACCAAAATGATCAGACAAATAAGGGACACAAAATAAATGGGAAATTAGATAAAATATGGGAAAGAAACTCAAGTCAAAAGAACAGAGAGATGCATATAAATTCAGTTTGGAAGGCTTTTTCAATCAAAAGCACTCAAGAATTTATAAGTTCTGAAGTTCAAATTCAGAAGAGTTGTGTGGATAATAAGAATGAGGAAAAGGGGAAAAAAAAGAAAAAACAACTGAAACAAGAACCTGCTTGAGCAGAACAAGATCGTGTAAATGATAGTCCTTGTTTTCATTGGCTGTAGAAGTTACGTCTCCACTTTTCATAACATTGTCTGCAAGTACGTGGATCTGAATGCAACATGTATGATGAACTTAATAAGTTAAGAGTTAACAAATCAAAGCTCTTCAGTTCCCCCTTCTTGAATACTCAATGAAATTGTCAATTACCTCTTCCATGTATGCATCAGATACAATGACAAGAACATGACCGTCAACTTTTGTAACCATACCAGTAACACCTTCATGTGCACCAGAGACAACTGTCACATGATCCCCAGTCTCAAAGTACTTGCTAACATCTTTAACATTGAAAATAAGCGTTTCCTGCAGAAGGTGGGCAACAAAATGGTGATTTTCAAGCCAGTTTTTCAGATATTGTCTGTTGATGGATGAAAAGAAGGTTCGAACAGAAACATACCGGCAAATCCTTGATTTCTGGTCTGATACAAACATACTCTTCCTCTACATTCTTAATGATTCCCCTCATATTTTTTAGATCACCCTTGACTACAAGAATTTTATCACCCTTCAAGAAGCGTGCCATTTTTGTATCTCCCTTTAATAAAGAACCTGTAAAATCTCCATCTCCATTCTCCCCTGGCTGTTGAAATCTTTCAAGCTCATTAAAGGTTGGCTGTATGTCATGATAAGTAATTGATTTCATGGAGACTGACTTATACAGAAAACCATCTTTGAACAGCATTCCAGCAATTTTTTCAAAATACTCCCCAGTGAAAGGATCACGCTTTCGCTCAACATGTATATTCTTTTCTCTGATAAAACAGACCAATGAAGCAGCCGCAAAACATATGAAACCAGCAAAGGTTTAGTCACAGCACATCCTATTATACTATTGTTATCCAGAAAGGATTAAAAGAGCAGATAATACCTGAATTCTTTAGTGTAAATTAACCTTGGAGGGGGAACAAATGCTTTCTTCACAACTTCCAGACCAGCCTGAGTTCATAAGAAGCAAGAACATGTTTGTGTTCTTCTTTGAAATCCTTCGGGGAAATAATCACCGGCTTATTCTAGCTATGATTAAAACAATACTTTGGTGGAGCAAAGATTAAGGAAGGGCGAAAGTCTGATAATTAAGTGAAATGATGCAGAATCAGTTTCGTTAGATTTGTACCAAAATCTAAGCAACATCGTAAAAGCATACCAAGTAATGCATAAGCGCAAACTGCAAAATCTATGAAAGGCAGTATCCAACAATGAATACATGCCATTTTTAAAATGCTGATCTGGTTCTCATTAGGCTATGTAGTTTTGAACTAATTAGTAATACCTTTCCAGTTCCACTGATCTATTGGACCAAAACCTATCTTACTTCAACACTTCATCAAAATCAATAGACTTTTACTCAATAAAGAAGCAAAGAATGTGTACCAATTTATCAGCTAATGCCTGTAAGTCAATCCGTGGAACTAGCTTCACAGTGACTCTTTGCTGAATATCATCAACATCTGTAACCTATATACAAAAGAAAGCTTATTAAATGATACAAAGAGGAGGCAAAAGACCAACTGTTTGCACAACCTCATGCAAGATGATAGACTAAATTTTTATGTACTTTTCCAAGGCCGCCTTTGTACATTCCAATATTCATTCGTATCCATGTATCTTTAGATACATCAATGGGTTTGCTTTTAACTGATAGAACACCAGCCATTTCTTTTATGGGCACAATCATTATCTTCTTGTGATTTATATATCGAAGACCTTTGCAAGCCTAAAACAGAAACAAGGAATTAGTGCTGATTAATTCCTAAAATTAAATAAAATGAGGGGGGAAACTGATTACATTTCGTATATACCTCAATCACATGTGCTTCTTTTTGTGCCTCGGTATCAATTTGATAATATGATAACAAATAAAAATCATAAATCAATGCGAATTGATTATATAAATATAATAAACTATTTAAAAATTTATATTCAGTGACCCATATGATAAATAAGATTTGATATAAATCACATGATAACTAATAATCGCTCTTATTTATGACTAAATCTTATTTTTCATAAAATGATTCATTTTTTTCGTTTAACACTTATCAAATATTAACCATTTTAATTTAATCAATTTAAAAACAATTGGTTCCGATATCACAACGGGGGTTTCAAATTGGCTTGTTCCAAATTAATCAAAGTATTTATATTTTAGTTTTATATAATCAATTTGAAACAATTGATTTAATTATCACAAAGCAACTCCAAATTTGGGTTCATACCAAAATGGTCAAAATATTTATATTTTATTTTTATCTCATAATAATTTAAATAATGAAAAATATCAAATGCAAACATTATTACAAAAATGTATTTTTATATATTTAAAAGTGCGAACTTTATTTCATAATAAAGTAATTTATATAACAATTTCTTCTCAAACAATATGGTCCACTTGTAAAATAATACAGGGAAATTTTCGTAGCCAAAAAGTTTCCTTTATATATAAAAAATAAACAAGGAACGGTCTATAGCTTCACTCGACTTTTTTCTTTTTCGCTCGTTTCAGCTGTAGCCTAATTCACTCGGTCTCCGTCGGTGCTCTCTCTTCCGCGGCTCCCTTCTCTCCGGGTAATTTCTAGGGTTCCTCTTTTTCTACTAATTATAATTCTTGTTTGCGACAAATACCCATTGATTAAAGGCCATTGCTTTGATCTGTTACTCCTTTTTTTTTTTTTTTATCTTCTTTGATTTTGCGATTTAGGGTTTTTTTATATGAATGATCTGATTGTTGTGGTTGATGAATATATAATGATATGGGAACCTTAATGATGTTGAAAACAGGGTTCATATTGTACGCCAAATGACTTTTGACCTCAGTTGGGAACTGCCGCTTTCGTTTCTTTGGTATGATTTTGGGTTTATGAACCGTGGGAGGCTGTGGTATTTTTCTCAAAAGATCTCTTTTAGGCATTGGACTTGGCCTGTTTTCTACGCCTCAATTTTTATTTGATCGTTTTCTTTTTTTGGATTCTTTGCTTTGGTTCTGCTTAAGTGGAATCACAATTTTCATAATTCACTTCTTGTGATTTAAATAATTTCTTATTGGATATTGGATCTTCAAATTCTTAACTTTGGTGATGGGGAAAAACTCGTTGGCTCCGGGGTTTCGATTTCACCCCACTGATGTGGAGCTCCTTAAATATTATCTCAAACGGAAAATATTGGGCAAGAAGCTTTCTTTCAAAGTAATTGCTGAAGTGGATATTTATAAACATGCTCCATGGGACTTACCAGATATGTCGATTTTGAAGACTGGGGATCTTAAATGGTTTTTCTACTGTCCAATTGAGAAGAAATATGCAAGAGGGGCTAGGTTGAATCGTGCTACTGTATATGGGTATTGGAAAATCACTGGAAAGGAAAGACCTGTTAAGTACAATGAGGGAGTTGTGGGGATGATAAAAACATTGGTTTTTCACCAAGGTAAAGCTCCGTGCTGGGAAAGAACAGATTGGGTAATGCATGAATACAGACTTGAGGAAAAAGATTTGACTGACAGAGGGGTTATTCAGGATACATATGTGCTTTGTGTTGTTTTCAAGAAGGATGGTATGGGCCCAAGAAATGGTGCCCAGTATGGAGCACCATTTAAGGAGGAGGATTGGAGTGATGATGAGGATGCAAATTTGCCTATTACTGGCTCTTTTTCCGGTATGCCTACAATAGTCGTTGGTGGTGCTAGTAGCTCATGTGTCCCTGAGAGCCTATGTGCTGTACCATCTGTTGAATCAAGTGGGTTGTACATTCAACCTCTGGAGGTTCATACTAATGCTTCTGTTAATGTTACAGCTGATATTGATAGTAATGCTTGTGCTTCCCCTAAATCCGTGGATGCTCCTCAAGTTCCAGTGGTTGTTGATGCTAGGGCTGTTCCTGCATTGATGGAGGCTTCTCAACTTGCTAAGGGTCCTCAAATACAAGAATCAAATGATAACATTTTATCAATGTTGGAGATCTTCACTGAAGATGATGCATTCATTAGATATGACAGAGATCCAATGACTGGTATTGCTAATGATTCTTTCTTCAAGGCTCCTCAAGTTTCTGATGATGATGATGATATTTTATCCTTGTTGGCATCCTTCACGGAAGACAACAATTTGAACAATGTGTTGTATCCATTTGAATAAGACGTCACAAAATATATATCCTTTTAACTATTGAAAGTGAAATAGCTAGTTTGCATTTAGGCAATGTTTTTAGATGAGTTATTGTATTACTGGGAACAAGTTTTTAAATTGTGTTGCTGCTGTTTGGTTCACCACTGTTCTTAGCAAGTGTTTAGTTTGAGATAGAAGTTGTAACAACTACCTTTGGGATTTGGGTTTGATTATCATCTTATGCTTTTATAATTGCTTTATGGAATTTCAGTTTGAACATGCAATGTTTGGTGGCCTTGACTGATAGATATGCGGTACATCTGTCGAATTAATAGTTCACAATGGCTGTGTGCAAATGTGTTTTTAAGGTTTGGAGATTTTCCTGCATGCAATATTGTGCATGTTTTTAGCTGCTTCGGCCTTTATTTGTATTTGGATCATAGGAATCGTAAGAATGCGTGACATTTTGTATTTATAACCATCAATACTGACGGATGAACTATTTCATTCCAAATTTATTGCTGCTCTGTTCAGTAGATCACATCAGTAGCTACTAGTAGTATAACTTATTCTAGTCTCTTTCTTTTACGGGTTTTGAGAAAAAAATAATACTCACCAAAATCCCCTCCATGCAGATCTTTCTACAATTTGTCGATGTCCTGTTTTTTGTGGTCATTTTTTATTTTAGATTTATTATTGATTATAATGTGAATTTTTTTTTTCAAGTCTTGAGTTTATTTATTTATTTTTTAATTAAAATTTTATTTTAATTAACTAAAATATTCCATCTTTATTTTTTTTTAATTAGCACGATTCTTTATTTATTGGATAAAAGCAATCAGCACATTTATAAAATCAGCACAAATTGGGCCGGCTGTATGTGAAAATATTTGCACCTGTGTCTTCTTGAGCAGAGTTTACTTTTCCACGTGTACGCCATGGAGGCTTAAGAAATCCTTGCTTGAACTGTAACAGAGCCAAGGAGATTTTATCGCTTTTCGGAAAAAAAAAATCAAACATATCTTCTTCTACCATTAAAAGCAATGAATCACGTTTTTATATCTATATCCTTGTAACACGTCTTATTCTACCTTGAGTCTTGAGAATGTGGGAAGGAAAGAAAATGCACAGAAAAAATAAATAAAGAAAGAAAAGAAGGAGACCTTGACAAAATTGATGCAGAAAAGAACGAATAGTTCCGTCACAAAGAAGCTTTCAGGAAAGAAACAGATCTTACCTCCTTTCTTTCAAGGTCTAGCCATGCTATCGACAATCGATTTGAGTCCAGAATCAAATTTGTTTATTTTATTTTTTTCCTCACGCTTTCATTGGAATATTACCACAATGCAAATGCAGAAAATTAAATTAGTTCAGATTTTCCAATTACCCGAAATTTCTTGCAGCAGTGCCTGACAAAATAGCCGATAGGTAATCCAATCCTGTTAAGACATGTCTAACTAACAGTGGCCTTGTTTCGACTCAAGAAAATATAAAGACAAACAAATCAAAACCATTTTTCATTGGAAAGGCTTTAAATGGTAAAACCAGTAAACTTATAGTTCTTACATAATTTTTGTAACTAAAGGAATGCTATATATGAACAACACATGGATTAATTTCAATAGCCTCCCTTAAATTCTCCCTTTGGATTACTCACAAAATCCCTTTAAATTGTACAGCTAATAACATAACTCTGTTCTCAATGCCTTGTACTGCAATCTGTCAACAAACAGACCTCCGATAAAATCTGCCCAGTAGCATCTAGCACTTGCAAACATGACAAGTCGTATTGATTTGTGAAAAAACTTCAATTAACTGCATGTTAATCAAGCAAGAGTTGCCATTAAGAATCATTTCAACTCTCTAGCAGATTATGCACAACCCAGATAATCAAGGAAAAGGCTCCCAGTGATTGTATGCAAAACTGTTTCCCGAAAAAAGATATACAGTTAAATTTAACAAACAGGAAATGCTTTACAACATAGATCATAGAATACCACTATTTGTACTAGAAAAGAAATTATATATATGTATATATATATTTATTGAGAGAGAGAGAGAGAGAGAGAGAGAGAAAGAGAGTGTAAAAGGAACACTTCAAAGGAATTATTGCTCAAGAATTAAGAATAAAACATTACCATGATTTCAAAAGAAATGACTGGCCATCAAAAGTTGTGGCATCTCCTTGTCTTCAACCTCCATTGAAGCTTCAGCTTTTATCTCTTCAACCCTCTTATCCCAAATATTATCTATCACCTTCCATGTTTCATCATTAACTGTTTGAGACTGTACAAATAAAGAGAAAAAATTTTTTAAAAAAAATCAGCAGTATTGTCACAAGTTAAAAATATGATTACATAAAAGTCCTTCCAACTTGCCTCCATGGGACGTGGTGCACCAAAAGTTGAAAACCCAGCATTTCCAGGGGCAAATGTAACCCGTCCTGGAAGTGTGATACCATGGATTCCCCATCGCCCAGCATAAATTAGTGCTCCATATTCATCAACTGACTTGACAGCAGGCTTTACAACGGGCAAAAGCATCATTCATGCAATCATCAAAAGGGATGCAAGATAATTGCATCATCAAAGATAATAAACTGGTAGTCATAATCAATAAGCATTCTACCATTTAAAGTGGGGAAACGTTAAAGCACTAGTTAAGGTGATGTTTGAGGAAAGAAATTTCTAATTACTGCATTATTTCGTCTTAAATTTAGTGAAAGTAGTGCATTAAATACAAAAACCTTTCCTTAAATAGTACTTCAACTTTCCTTAACCAGTGCTCATAGGCACCCGTTAACCAAACCCGTTAAATTACATCTCTATGGGAACTTCTATTTGCATCCCATTTTTTTCTAAATACACCACATTTCTATTTACACCCAAAATTTAAAACATAATCCTTAATTTATACTTTTACACACCACAAATATTATTCTCCTTTTCCTAAAAAACCCTTCATACCTATTTCCCCCATTTCCTTTTCCTTCTCCTTCTCCTTCTCCTTCCTCCTTTCCATTCAAACCCTAATCCAAAACCAAACCTAAAACCTTCAATCAAACCCTACAATCACAATTTTTGGATTTAATCTAGCTACTCAATCCCAATATAGAGGTAAATTGCCTTTGATTCATCTACGCAAAGAAAACATAGCAGTTTTCTCAAAAGAAGAAAGTATTATACTGAAGCCAGGAAAAACAGCAGAATAGAATATAACTATCCAATCCTAAGCCGTAAAGGCTTTTATGCTCTTAGGTTTTCTCTGTATATGTCATTCCTTCGACCAAAAGCTACCTGAGATATTCGAGGGGCTCTATTGTATATGTCCCAGATCTCCTCAGCTTTAATCTCCTCCTTTTCAAGTAAAATATCTGCAAAATGTGTATATAGAATCAAGCAATAACGCGTTTTACTATACATAATTCATTTTTCAATTCCAAACTATAATTAAAAAAACTTGAAACTTTCTCAGTATATTTAAGCTAACTGAAGTAATGGTTACAATTTTATGCAAAAGATCAGTTAATTTAAAGAACATAGGAATCAATTATATCAAGCAAAATAACCTGTAATTGTCTCTACAGCCGATCGGAACTCTCTCAGCACAGATATACATTTTTCCACAGCAAAATGCATGTATTCATCACGAAGTGCTTCAAGTTTCGTAGCAAGCTGTATAAACATGATATCATTAGTTATGCAATCTATATTAACTCATGAAAGATCTTCACAAAATGCTATAGAAATTTAATCAGCTACAAACTGCAAACATACATTAGGCACAAGATCACTTTCATTTCTGTAGTATGCTTTCCCAAAAGCTGTCATCCCTGTCTGCAAAATTAAAAACTCTGCAAGCCTTGAAGCTTCTAATGTAGCTGTTGCTGAGATCCAACACATGTTTTCAACCCCAAACATCTCCTCCTCAATTAATCTTGCTGAAAATTTGAGCTATCAGTGAGCCACACTATACTTATTGAATTAGAGGGGAGAAATAGTAGATACTATAAAATAAACTAGTTGCCCAACACAAGCAGGCAATATTAGATACCATAAAATAAAACAGATGTCGAACACAAGCAAAGTATTCTTAGTGGAGTTATTGAGATTATATTTAATAACTTATAAGACCAGACAGGATTTAGAGGCCAACATATAGGGGTAAAGAGCCTCAGTTAAGGAAGTTGAGGAGGTGGGAGAGGCTTACAAGATGATATAATTAAACTTTATTATTCCTCTAACCAAAAATGTATCAATGATATTTTAAAAATAGGTCCTTCACTTAATTAGTTGCATCTTGTTTTCAAATATACAGAGCTCTATTTATGAGATGTCAAGCTTACATGAATGGAAATGCACATGAAAAAGAGAGTCCACATTAGGATCTTCACTTTCTAGACCAGATTTTTCCCCCTTCTTTTACACAACAAAGCGGAAAGTGAAATGTGAACTTCAAATTCACAGAATTTTGTGGAAACCAAAGACAAGAATAAAAAGCCAACAGTCATGTGGTCTGTTGGTAGAGTGCTGGAATCCTCATTCCAGTGACCAAAGTTCAAATCCTGACGCCTCAAGTACCAAAAAACGACAAGAATAAGACAAAGTGTCATGCTTATACTAGCAAGTAAACTAATCAAAAACTCAAATATGATGATTATGGAGACAAGTTTTGACTACTTACGAGCACATGCACGCACCATCGAGTTTATATAATCTGATTTTCTCAAGAAAACCTTGCCCTTAAATTCAGCATAGCGCATATTTGGTTGGCTACGGATAGACTTTATATCTGTCTGTAGGAAATAAAAATAAAGATTTGATTAATAAATGAGCAAACATAGGAAGATATCACAGAAGCAAATGGTACTACAATTATATCAACAGCTGATATTATATTAATGCAATGACCTCTGTAAATGGGCGATAGGGATCTGGAAAGTAGCAAGCAAGAACTGCAACAGCTGCTTCTCGGTATGCCAATCTCAACTTCAATTCCTCTGGAATTTCTTTACTATCTTCTTGGCCTGTTTCAAATGTGCCCTTTTGCTGGAAAGTAAAATAATGAACAAAGTGAGAAAGTGACAATCAATATGTTGAACCAATATCCATATATAAGGAATGCAGAATTAACCCTCTTCAAAGCCTCTAGAAGTTCTTCACGTCCAATGTAATCAAGATCTTTTCTGGCAGTCAAAATTCCAGCCTCGTTCCTGTCATCCAAGTTTAGGAAACATTAGATCTCTCCCAGTCCCAGATGTTTAGTAGTATAAAATAAAAGTAACTAGAAGTATAGGATTATGTACAGTATATTTTGAAGCTCTGCCCCAGTAAAATCTTCCGTAAGCACTGCAACTTCCTCCAGCAGAGTCCCTTTCTCCTCCTCAGAGCGAAAAAATTTATTTCTAGCATGGACCTGTGGGGTACAAAATTAAAATCATATAACAAAAGATACAAAACTTACATGATAACATGAAGGCTTCACATTAAACAAATACCTTCAATATGGCCAATCTACCATCTTTAGATGGCAACCCAACTCTTATTATCTTGTCAAACCGACCCTTTCTCAGGAGAGCAGGATCAAGGATATCCAGTCTATTTGTTGCACCTATAACTAACACCTGACAAGCCCAAATTTAGCGGTTGAATAAATAAAACTCCTCTTCAATCCAAGTGAACACATAAATTAATACCTGTGATGTAGAAACTTTAAATCCATCCATCTCAGTAAGTATCTGAAGCAGACCCTGTTCCCTTTCTGCACCACCCTATACAGAAAAATTACACACGAAGACCCATACACAACAAAGGCTAAGTCAGGATATTAACATGACAATAGGGCTTTATTGCAAAACATCTATCATGAGAAGATTTTTACATTAATATGACATAACAAAAAGATAGAGGTTCAGAAAGGAATTTGTATGGCAATCCATTGAATTAAGAAGCCTAGCATGAGCTTGGTTGGTTGGAGAGAATATGCATCTAGAAAAAATTCCATAGCAAAGTTCTATGATAATGTATGCATGCTTATATGCGTATCTATGCTTTTGTGAAAGTATGTGTATATGTGTACATATGGGTCCAATCACCCACCTTTCCAATCTCTAACTTAACTGTAAATTTGGGAGTACAGGAAAAAGGGGGGCAATGCAATCAGATGTAAAGCAAAATAAAGTACAGACATCATCCTCTACCCTTATTTGAGAAGAATAGAAGCATGGTAAAGTTACATAGAACCATCATTACACCTTTCACTATTATTACACAAAATTACAAAAAGAAAAAGAAAAAAAATCAGAACCAAAGAATCCTAGTAACCTCATAGATGACTCACCCATACAGATTTGCCTCAAACAGCATAATATTTATCCAACATAATCTTTATCAGCATGCTGTTATTATACATTAATTATCAATTTAAGCAAAATGTAGCAATGAATGAAAAGGTCCCAAAATATTGTCAATGCCCAAGCCTAGTGTTAAAGCACAATGGAAATCAACTAAAGCACATGCCTGATCGATTTTTTTAAGGCAAAAGGTGCTTAAAAAGTGAACCTGAGTTTAGTGTCCCTTTTGTTCCTTTAGTTTTTATTTCTTTTATTACTTGTACTTTCCATAACTAAAAATGGACAATACCAGCTTTCCTTACAATAACTTAAAAAAAAGGTAATACTCAAGCCACAACTTTTCATTGAAACAGGAAGTAAAGGAAACATTAGCAAATGTATGATAAATTATGATAATGCTTGACAATCGGACCAAATTAGACACTGTAATGAAGTAAACTCATTAACAAAATAATATATTTTAAGATTAACAGATATGATAAGAGAATTTTCTTTGTTTTATGTATATAGTAAGTTTTCTTTAGAAATTAGTGCCTTCACTCGAGCAACCCCCTCTTTTTTTTTTGCACCTTGAATCTCAAGTGATATAAGGGTCCTAGTAGCAGGAGTGCATCTTGCAGCTTTGAAAACAATAAGTTATCCATCTTTAAAGTTCTGAAACTTTTTATTCTATTCTAAGCTGAATTCTGAACATTTTCTATGAGAGTTTTGTCAAAGGAAGTTCTATTATGGCTTTACAAGAAAAAAGTTTGGTAAAGTTAAACAAAGCTAAAACTTAACGCTGGCAAGAATGAAATAATCCAGGTGAGTGATGGATACTTGTGCAACTCTATCCTTATCATTCTTCTTCCTTTTCTAGCTGCAGCCAGCTGGGACTGGTTAGGAATCAGAAATTTTAAAAGCATTAGCTAAAGTGGAAAATGAATGGTATGCAACTTACTAAGCCTGATTTAAAGGTCAAAATCCTAAATCCAAGAAAAATTTTATAATTTCTATTGGAAGTTTAGAGACATAGTTTGACAGTCGTCTCAGATTTTATTGGAGAAGTTAATGTTTTCTTTATATATAAATTCAGATTTCTAGCATCCAAGAGCTTGCAGCATCTCAAAATTCAGGAAAAGTCCAGATCAATATACTTTTAGAAAGTATTGTGATTATAATGATTAATAAGGAAAAATTGGTCTTAGTATTGTTATCTTTAACATTGTATTTATCAGAAAGAAGAAAAATCACTGTAGCTAAAAGTAAAAGGTTTTTAGGCTTGTAATGTTATTACCACTTAGGGGTGCCAATTGCTCAAGTCGAAAATAAAGACCCAGGCCCAAATCCCAAGCTTTTTCCCAAAAGAAGAGAAATAACGATAATAAAGGTGAATTGTCTATTGGCCAAAAACATGGTTAATTGTCTTACACCGCCAATATCAGGTCCCCCACGCTTGCTGCCAATAGCATCGATCTCATCAATAAAAATTATGGAAGGTGAGAATGATCTGGCATTATCAAACAAGTCCTTTACACGTGATGCTGCAACGCCAACAAACATCTGGCAAGTTAAATCACTGTCAGCCAGATTTCTAGTTCCACCAATTTCAGATAGATTCCAATAACATTAACAACAACAACAACAACAACAACAACAAAAACAAAGCCTTATATCCCATAACTAGCTATATAAAAGGCCAAAAAGGGGGTCATGTTAGGTCGTAGTTTTGAATCTTCCAATAACTTTAAAAAGGAAAAAAAATACAATGTGGATAAAGGCAAATCAAAATTCAAGAATATATGCAGACTAAGAGGCTTGTCTTGAAAAATTCTGGGCCATTAGGGAGGCAACATGAAAACTGTTAACAAGCAAAGTATCAAAACTTGGCCTCTTAGAGAAGTAGCAGAAATCATGCATGACAGGAATCATGCATTAGACAAGACTCAAACAAATGCCTTGAGTTGCAAAATTTATATGTGTGAAAGATAAAATAAAAGAACAAGAAAGAGTAATTATCCAGTGTCAGTGCAAAAAGCCTTGGACTGACAATGCTGAGGTATGGATTCAAGTCAAGAGAACAGCCATAGACAAGCTAAATGATCAGACCATATTCAAAATTTCCCTACCTATGACCCTTTATGATAAATAAATAAATAAATAAATAAATAAAATATCAAGATTAACAGCAATCCCATGTATGAAGAACAAAAGAAGTATATAAGCTGAAAAAAGAGCAAAAAAGCAATTAAAATATCTCTTCCAAATTCATTTGATGTAAGGCCATATTTTCCTAAATATGTTTAGGATAAAGCCTAAAAATAAAGCATCCAAAAAACCCAAAAGATAACTTTGATAAATTGAAAGCAATGAGAATTTTGTGAAGAAACCAGTCCTCACCTCTACAAAATCAGTTCCATTTGCTGCAAAGAATGGTAGTCCAGCTTCACCAGCAATAGCTTTGGCCAGTAGCGTTTTACCAGTCCCAGGAGGCCCATGGAGCAAAACACCTTTTGGGCAATAGATACCTCTACTTTGGAACTCTTCATCATTTTTTAAAATTCGTACAATCTCTTGTAGTTCCCTCTTTATATATTCTTGACCAGCGAAATCATCAAAAGTAACACCAGTTCTTTCCTCCGCTGATATAAATTTGGCCCTGGTTAAAAGCAGTAAAGTTAAAACCCTGGTAGAATGATTAGTTACCCCCAAGTAGAATGATTTGTTACCCCCAAAACTATATTTACAACATAACTGCCTAATCTCCTTTTGACCCAATAAAAAACACTTTCAAAAACAATGTAGGCATCACTAAATATTCATGACAGCATTGACTTGTTATGAGGTGCAAACTCTATTTTTTGGAGGACTACTTACCGACTCTTGCCTAATGATCCCAGGGCATGCTGCTCAAGTGGTTGCCTAATTGTTTTGCTAGGAGCTCCCAAATCACAAGGTATTAGCTTTGCATAAATGGGCCTCATCATATTATCAATCCAGAGATATAGTGCAATCGACAAGGCAAGTCGCATAGACCATATAACTGCAGTTGCAACAGTGGAGTAAACTTCTGCAGATACAGTGTTGACATTCAGGACATCAACATTCACAATTTGTTGGTGAAGCTTTTGCCAAACATCATTCCAACAATCAATGGGCATGCGATCCACCACATGGCGCCGAAAAATTATTTCATTCTTTGAATTTCCCACTGTCCCATCCGTTTTCCTATCTTTGTAGTATGGCAAAATCACTGCAGGACGCTCAACAGAGTTCAGAGAAAAATAAATAAAATAACAAGTAGCTAGAGACTTTGAAAATCTACAGGATAATGAAAAAATGGTGTAATCCAGCTAAGTTGAGCCAATCCAATAAAAGTTCGGGCAAAACTCAATTACTGGACTCAAATCCCAAGTTTATCCTGATCAAAGTCAAGCATTATTGATATGCCCAAACACGAGTCAAAAATAATAACACTACTCTAGTCGGACCAATTTGGCTCAATCATAATTGACTAAAGCAACAAATTCAAAATCAACATCAAGCTCAAGCTACAATGAAAAATGTACATTGATTATACAAGGTAAGATTGCAACTATAAAAATAGATATTATATTTCATTTACATATGTATATTACATATAAAGTTCATTTAAAATATATTTAAAAATTTTAAAAGCTCAATTTGGCTTATAAGCAACTCAAGCAAAATGCTCAAAATCTCAAGCTCAACTCTTCAGCTTGACTCAACAAAGGAATGAGACAAGCTCAAGCATTCATTGAGTCGAGCCTGAACAGTTCACAAGTTACTAGACTCGCTTACACCCTTAGATGCAGCCATAATGAAGGGAGACCAAATTAACAAATAGCATTTAGTTCAAGCCATTAAGAGTAAAAACATCAAGCAAATGGTTCAAATCAGAATATCATCTAACCAAACACGCATCTTAGATATGCAAAAGAACACAAAAAAGCAACAATCTATGTTACTTGAACTCGAGAATGAGAGTCAGATAAGGGTATGTGTCCGACATGGGTACATTCGATTTTAATTTTTTATTATATTTGGGGGTCAAACCTCCATGCCCATGTCTGTTGGATTTGTGTCAGACACGGGTAATTCAAGAAAACTGAAGAGTCGGAGCACATAGGCTACAAGAGTACAGAGCAAAGTAAGCAAAAGAATCATCTTTAGTCTGCAAAATATGAAAAAATAATAATAATAACATATAGCCAATTGAAAGGTCCATGTGTCAGTCAAAATACGCATACCCAGAACTCATGTAGATAATCAAGAGTACAAACTAGGATCTTAAAGTACGAATTTAGTAAACTACTTCCAGTATCATAATTGCTAAGACCAACATACAAGATACAACATAATTTGAGTATTGAATATTTGGATTACTTCACCAAATATATTCAATAAGTATTCTTGACTTCCACAACCTAATATGAATCCTAGAGTCAGCAAATCCAAAAATTGTGTGAGGCTCGTTAACAGAGACAAATAAACAATATACCCAAGTATATGTGGACACAATCAGCCAACTTGTCTATTGCACAGTACAGGTTACTCCTAATTTTGATGCTATTTTCTTGTTTGTTTCCCTCATTCTGGTTCACGGTAAATAAAATGATATCTGAGTTCTTTGAAAAGCCCTTGAGCTGATGGTCCACTTGGTTTTAGGACAATGCACCTGTTGTTCAATCTTATTTACTGATGTACTAAAATCTTAAAATTGAAGAGATGAACAACAATAGCTGTAGAACAACATAAAATCATTGTGCTGCACTACCATTCTGTAATGTAATCCACCAATCTAGGTCAACAGTATTTAACTAAAAAGAACTGAGGAATTCAATTCAAACAGCTACTTATGGATGAATCCAAGCATAACGCTCTATCCCAATCCTTTGTATTAACATGCATGATGTTGTGCCGATGCAATCAGTCAAAATAACATCTGAAAAAGGTGTCACAGAAACCCTTCACAATATGTGAATAGCAAAAGCTTAACACTTTGAAATCAGTTACAAAATAACAAATAATATCAATATACATAGATATAATAATTTTAGTCTACTATTTTAGTAGAAATGGACAGCAATTAGCCCTTCATTCTACATTTGCATCTATGACACCCTGAATAAGACCTCTCATAGTCAATACCTAGAGCAGTTATAAATAAAAAAAAGCATTATGACCTCTACATTATCAAATAGCTCAAAGATAATAACCTTATAAATTTGGTCACCTAAGTATAATTACATTTTATTGTGCAGTGCAAGCCAAAAACCATAATAAAAGAAGCCGCAAACAGATAAACAACAACCAGAGATTAAGTGGCGAGCAAAGAGCCAAAGGTTTAATGTAAGACGTTTAGAAAAACTTTCTTACCTGAAATTGTCTGACCATAGTTCGAATACTCCATAAATTGGACATTGTTCGAGTTAAGAAGTCCCATAAAGTCACTAAAGTCAATTCTATGTGAATTCTCAGGATCCCACTCTGTCCCCTTCAACTTTCGACGCAGGGTCAACAGGGCTCTGCTCCAACAGGAAGCCATGACAAGCTGTCTCTCTAACTGCAAGTCAGCCTTCCTTTCAAGCTCTTCCAGTTTATTTATTCTTTGTCTCTCTGCATCCTTTAATTTCTGGAATATTATGGAAATTAACAAAGGTTAGACAGAACATTCAATCATTACAAAACCAGTGGCAAACCTAAAAGAAAATGAGGGAAATGTAATTCTACAATCTGTGATCCTGACTGCTTAAAGTGCAAATTCTGGAGGGAAAAAATGCCCACATCTTAAATACTGATTCAAGCAATTTAAGTAAATTTTTACAAGTGAGAACAAAAATTCTATGAGATGAGTGATTATACTTAAAGGTCAGATACCAGATAGTAGCATATAGATAGAAACAAGAAAAGCACCCATATCAGCTGTAGAAGACTACAATCAACTCTGATATAAAGAACTTATTCCACGTTTTAGGGAAAATGAGTCCTAATAGTTGGACAAAAACATTTTGCCTATTTGTGCAAAATACAAAGAGCTTATAAGAAGTAAAGTTGGTTGTTCTTAGATTAAATCTACAAAATTATCAAAGATAACAAAGGATGAAACTTCATACACACCCATTTTAATAATTAAAAACTGCACAAATTGATAAATTATTTCAAATAAACAAAATCGCTAAACATTTCATAATCTATAACAAACAACACAACATATTCTCCACTTGGCATCAAATACCAGTAGACCTATATATGTGAGGTATCATGGCTGTTGCTTTTGCAACTTGCTTTTTACTTCATCAAACATACCAAAAATACGATATTATTTGTCATTATTTCTGCTACTTGTTTTTTACTTCATCAAACATTGCTAAAAATGTAGAATCGTATGTTGTTGTTTTTCCTACTTAGGTTAATTGCCCCCTCAAAACTCGCCAAGAAGTAAAAGAAAAGAGTAAGAACCAAAATCATATTTGATTAAAAAAAAGAGCAAACAGTAAAAAATGCAGTACATTTTTAGACATAATTGTTCCATAGGAAAGTTAAATGGCGCCTATTATTATTCACAGAAGTTAAAGTTTTAACTTTCTAGTCATTCAAAATATATTATTTGCCCTTTGCGTCTGAAAACTAAAAGCAACAAGCAATAGAGAAACTTTTCCATTTCCGCTTTCCGCAACCAATATTGTTTTCTCATTGACCAAATAGGCTATAACATCAGTAAAAGATAATTGCAAATGAGGGAAAGAATAACAATAACAATAATAATAATAATAAAAAGGAAACCTCGAATAACTGAGTGGACTCGGCATCTTCATCTTCGACTTTGGTGGAAGCGACAATTGAGCCGGAACTCGAACTGGAAGTAGAAACATTGGAAGCAGTAATATTGATATTTTTGCGTTTAATTAAGCTTAATTTAGGTTTGAAAGCATTTTTACAGGATGTATTACGAGAAAAAGAATAGGGGAATTTAATGAGAAGAGTTTTAGATGAGTTGCAAAAAATTGTTGGAGCTTCGATGAAAGTAATTGGCTTGGAGAGAGAACAATTCATTTTCCTTTTCTATCATAAAAAAAATATATTTCTGCTTCACTTTCGCTCACTCTCTAGTGCGGGAAAAAGCAGGAGAAAATATTGGACTTTATCTTTGCCTCGTCGAGGGATGCTGAGAACTGGAGTTCTTGTGTGGGTTTTGGAGATGAGAGCCAAACGCTGCGTTTTCGTAAACAATCCAGTGGAGTAAAGAACCGTCTCTGTAAAGAAGTAAAAAAAGAAAGAAAAAGAAAATGGAAAAATGTAACGTCGCCGTTTTACTGCTGTTGGACAAGTTTTGGGCGTTTTGGCAGTGTTAAAAAACTGGACCAGCCGCTTAAATCCGTTGAATTGAGAACCGATGCTCTTCAATCATATAAAGGCTTTGGGTTGGGGATGAACCCGGTGACCCTGTGAAAATTTTGCCCAATACGTGATCAGGTTGGACCTGAATAGGCCCAATAGTATTAAAAATTTTTAAAATTACTTTATTATTAATATTTTAATATTTTAAATATATTTTTAAAACTAAAATTAAATAAGTGTCTCGTTTTATTGAATGAAAAATCTTCTAAAGTTAGTATTAATTAAAATTAATAGTATGTGGTATTTTAATATTTATATTTAATATATTTTTAAACAAAGTATAGATATATATAATAATGATACTGGTGTTGCCAGGTTGAAAAACAGAAAGTGATGCGGAAGATCTGCTGGTTGGAATGGTAAACCACAGAGGCCCGTCTCTTATGAGAATCGCTTCAACATCCAAATTTCTGTCTAGAAAACAATCTCCCAGGACCATTGCCCTTTACGTAGTCTTCCTCTTTACTTTCTCAATCTTCGTTTTTGTCTTCAACGCTGGCAACATTGTGGAAGACCAACACAACCCAAATGTCTCCCACGAATCCCAACCTCAACCTCAATTTCTCCAGGTCTGTTAATGGGTGGTTATATTTGAGGCTTTTGAAAAATGGGTCATTGTCTTTTTACACTATCTGAAATTATATACACAATTTGACAGCCATCTCGGCATTGTTCTTATTATTAAATGTATGATTTTTGTTTGGAAAACCGTTGTATTTTGTTTAAGAAAAAGGGAATTCAAGAATAAATTGCTTCTATAATTTCTTCTTGACTTATGCAGATAGCTGATGAAGAACTTTGGGATGCTCCCTCCGGCCATGGTTTACGTCCATGTGTCAAGCCTACGAGCAGATATAAAGGTAAAATCTACAAATATGTTAGTTTTTATCTTACTCCCTCCGCACATAGTTTTAGTTTGTACCATGTTGGAAGACTATCCCCTTTCTTTTGGAGCATTTGTTTTGTTTAGCCTACTCTTTTACTCAATGTGCAGTTATTTTTTGTTTATCTGTTTGTAACCTACAATTCTGTTTTTCTCTGATTCCATTTTATGCTATGTCAGCTGCACAAGGATCCAACCGCTATTTAACAGTGAAAAGTAATGGAGGATTGAATCAAATGCGCACTGGTGTATGTTCTCTTATATCTATTTCTTTTGTTTAGTTTTGTTTTGCCTACTTTTTCCATACATGTGTCTAATTACATCCAGAGTCACATGCTATGATTTGATAGAAGTAGAAAATTGCCTGCATGGTTAAGAATTAAGATAGTTTTTGCCACCCAACATAGAATTTTCTTCTCTTTTATAGGTTTTATGCCTTAGATAAATGCGCTTATCTTCTTGCATGTTAACCTTTCACAAAGTACTAAGATGTGCATTTCCTAGAGGCAATTAGAGAACTTTTGTTCTTTCTACCCGTCGCACAAGAGGAAGTTAGTAGTATTTTCTTGTATCATTCCAGCTCCAATTTTTTCATTTTAAATTACAAAAATGCATAGACTAGGAATGCATCAAGGTGTATACTTTTGTGAGGATGGTTGCTTCATTACATGAGCTACAAATGGTAGAACAAAAACTTCATACCTGTATAACTAGTTGTATTTGAGTTTCCCTACAAAGCTTTTCCTTTCTTGAAGTTTCAAATAATTTGGATCAAGAAAAACTTCTTCATTTTAAAACTTTAACCTAGAATATGAAAGTTTGGAAGTTTCCCTATATCAGCATGAAAACTTCCAAATTATAAGCGATTGTGGCGCTCTAATAATTTATGGTAAAACGTTTTAGTTTATATATTTCATATCATACATGATCTAAGGAATGACAATGAGGAGGAGTGGGGTTAGGCAGATTATTGCTAGCCCAATCCTGTTTGAACTTGCCCCAAGCTTGGGCTACCATTTGCAATACTCCCTGCCAGCGAGGAAAATCTGTTCCTTGTATCTGCCCACTCTGCCGTGAAAATTTTATTTTTTTATTTGTACTTTTTCTTGAAATTATGATCCTCTTGATATAAGCAATATATAATTTTTGGCCGAGATATAAATAACATATGAAATACATCTTATTGCTTGAATAATCTTTCATTGGCATCAAACAACAAAAAATATGAGTATGTCTGTTTATACATATGTACTATAAATGTGAAACTGAAGAAATGTTGAAAATTGTACTTATTATATACCCTAGAGTGAGGAGGGGCAGAGCAATCTAAACCAGCCCAGCCCTCATTCTTCAAATAAAAACCCCCTGAACCACAGTGCGGCCTGTTCGGCAACCTTTTTTTCTAACATCCCTTGATGATCCAATTTTTTAGGGTACTTGTTTAGTGACTTAAAACTATTATAAACAACAATTTGATCAATTTCTGTTGAAACCAGTGGAGTTTTTTTCCCAGGTTTAAGAACTTTTTATTGCTGCTGTTATGGAATGGTTTAATAACTTAGAGCTATGCACTACATGTTCAGTACTCTAAGAGTAATGTGCATATTAGTTTTTACACATTTAATCCGGGTTGGGGGTCTATAATTATTGTTGTCGAAAGCTTTTAATAGTTAGTGTGTTGAAAAAAATTTCTCTCGATGTTTAACCTACTTGACTGGCTTGAACTTGTATTTGAATGAGTGCGTTTGTTAGCTCTGTAATCTATACTTGTTTTACTTTCAAGTTTCACAGATGCTGCCTTGTTGGTTCATTGACCCAAAATCCGGCAACCATTCTCTTGTAGATATCAGACATGGTGGCTGTGGCACACATAATGAATGCGACCTTAGTCATTCCACAGCTGGATAAACGATCCTTCTGGCAAGACTCAAGGTATTCTCATTTGTTTCTAGCTTAAGTCCAATAAGTTTGTAATTGTTTTGGTCTTAATTTGCTTGCTGTTATTACTTAAGGTCTCTCATCATGAATTCCATGAAACAGTGTGTTTTCTGATATATTTGATGAGCTTCATTTCATCAAAACTTTACAAGGAGATGTGAAGATTGTCAGGGAGCTTCCCAAGCAACTGGAACTTGTTCCTCGGGCCCGAAAGCACTTTACTTCCTGGTCTAGCATAGGTTACTACAAAGAAATGATGCAGCTGTGGAACAACCATCGGGTATATAAACCATGTTCTTTGCTATACTTGATAGCACTATATGTTTTTGGTTAAGGCCATAGTTTTAAATACTCTGCAACAGAGATATTTTAGATGTGATTGATCACATAATGATGCCTTGCAATCTGTCCCAGTTAACATTTGTCAAAATATAATTCACTATTAATTTTTTGTTTAACGCAGTATTACCAAGAGGAAAGGAAAGCATTCTATTTACTAAAATAATTTCTATGTAGTTTAATATTGAGGTGAAGTAGTCCAAATTATAATTAATAAATTTCAAAATTGCATGCTCTTTCCCCAAATTATGTAGGATGTATATTCATTCAAATACATATCCTTTAGGTATTAAGGGAGCCAAGAATACATGTGTTTGAACTAACATTATGAAAAAATGAATAGTCTCAAACTGGACTTTAATACTCCCTAAGTTCAGGTGCCCTGTTCAAATGTCATTACCTTGTCATATCTATGTTATACTGCTGCTAAAACCTTCTCATACCATTCATGATGATAGGATAAATATCATGCTTGCATGTGATTCAATCATCAAATTTTAGCCTTTTTTTTTTTTAAATCAAGGAAAGTTTTGAATCCAAGGATGCTGATCAATTAACATTTGCAGATAATCCATGTTGTTAAATCAGATTCTCGACTTGCAAACAACGATCTTCCTCTTGACATACAGAGGTTGAGATGTCGAGCTCTATATCATGCGCTCCGCTTCTCTCCCCCCATTGAGAGCTTGGGAAAGGTGAATTGCTACTCTTTGGTGTTGGTGCCCCTGTTAGTTTACTGCCTGCACACATGTACACTCATGAAAAGGCATGGAAAGCTTTTGCATTGCAGCAAAGAATTTAAGACTTCATAACAAATTCATCGTGTAATGCTAGAATATTATTAAGCCCAACACATATTCATGTTTACTTTCAGTATTGATGCATTTAAGAGGTCTCCTATGGGGCTTCCTTTTTAAATTAGGTTCTGAGTATGCATGATGATGACACCACAGAAGCTGGTGGATCACCTGAGAATGCAGAGTGGAAGATACATTGCACTTCACTTAAGATACGAGAAAGACATGCTTGCTTTTACTGGTTGTACTTATGGTTTGACTGATGCAGAATCTGAAGAGCTGAGAATAATGAGGTGACAACCTCTCCTTTGGGCTCTTGCATTTACTTTCTGGTTTAACGGGAATTTTTTTCTCCTTCATTAATTTAATTTGTCTTATTGAAACACATGGAAGAGCTCCCTACTTATGCCTTATGAAAGCAATCCAGTTCAATGAGGATATAGGCCTCTGCATTATTCATATGGTCTGGGTTATTATTGTGTCAATTACTGGCCATCTGTTGAACCATATATCAATTCCCTGGTATTTAAGAAACATAGAAAAGGAATTTTTACCAAATAAACCTGTTGGAATAAACTAACCTGATAATAGTTTCAATATATGGACTTTAAATTTTTGTATTAAATTCTTTGAAGCTTTGGAAAACGTTAGCCAGTTTCACCTTATCCTTAATGTGCTTATTCCCAGAATGTTATGGTTTGTTAGTCAAGTTTACTAAAAATTGGGGAAGAATGTGACTAAATTGACCAAGTTAATCATGGAAGGAGTCATCTTTTTGGTGTTTAGGTACATTTGCATATTGTAGCTTATACTGCTTTTTGTAAATATCTTTCCAGGGAGAACACAAAGCATTGGAAGGTTAAAGATATAAACTCTACCGAACAGAGAATAGGTGGCTTTTGTCCACTAACCCCCAAGGAAATGGGAATATTTCTTCAAGCTATTGGTTATCCTCCATCAACATTAATTTATGTTGCATCTGGTGAAATTTATGGTGGTGATGCTCGCCTTTCAGAGCTTAGGTCTTGTTTCCCAAATCTAGTTTTCAAGGTTTGTAAGTCTTATTTTAGCTTAGTTGCCTTGTTATATATAGCATGATGTGCATAATCTGCCATGAGGATGTGGTGCCTTCATAACTTGGTGAATTTGTTGCCTTCCTGACTTGGTGCTTTTGTCAATGACAGGAAAAACTGGCAACAAAGGAGGAGTTGAAAGCATTTGCTCAGCATCCATCTCAAAGTGCTGCACTAGATTACATTGTTTCTATCGAAAGCGATGTGTTTGTTCCATCATATTCAGGTAACATGGCACGAGCTGTTGAGGGGCACCGCAGATTCTTAGGCCATCGGAAGACTATCACCCCAGACAGGTAACAAATATTGAAAATATTATTTGAGTTCTTTTAGGAAGAGGTTTTCTATAAGGACGTGAATCATTACTCTTTTGTCCTCTATATGTTTTGCTTTTATGTTGAATTCCCAGAAAACCATTTGAAGACATGAATGTGACTTAAAGCAATTCATTGATCCAATTTATTTTTCTGACTAATTAATTTAAAAAGACATGAGCAGTGAGCGGTTCAGTCTTTCCTAGAAATACTTTGTATTGTAATGAGTGACACCCCATAAATACATGTATCTGTGCTCTTTTTTTCCTGACAGAAAATATCATGCTTATTAAAGCAATTTATATTCTTATCTCCAGTATTTTTTTTTTGGCAGGAAAGGACTTGTCAGGCTTTTTGATGAGTTAGAAAATGGACAGCAAAGAGAAACATCCTCATTCTCTGACCTTGTGCGGCAGATGCACAAGAACAGGTAGCTATGTTGCAACTAGCAATTATCTGTTCTCCCTGAATTAGACCGATTGTACCATGCCTCTATGAAGTACCTAACACAACTAGGCCCTGGAAACTTGTACAAAATTAAGTACTAAGTGATAACATAATTAAAAATTGGAAGTATCCTATTGCAGTGTCCAATGGAATGGCATAATTTTGCATGAATTTTGATGTAGTTTGTATTTATGTTGCAGACAAGGAGCTCCAAGAAAAAGAAAAGGCGCTTCACCTGGAATCAAAGGCAAAGAACGTTTCAGGACTGAAGAATCCTTTTATGAAAATCCATACCCTGAGTGTATATGCAGTTCAAAGGCTGTATAAAATAAGCCATAAACTGATTTGGTTTGACCTCCGCAGTATGAAGTCAAAGTTGCTTGAATGAAAGGATCCTCAGTTGAGTGGGTATCGAATGTTAACCAAGATGGAAGGTGCCGTGAATACAAGCTTGAAGCAATGGATATGCTGCTATTTGACTGACCCAAAGTTGTAGATGCAGAACTCAGTTACACTGCCATAGCCTTCTTACTACAGTTACCTCGCAGAATGTTGTAGTTAATTGCTGATTCAATTTCTTGAACAACCCCTTTCCCCATTTCCTCTTATAGGATTTACATTCCTCTGGCAGGGGAAGCTTGTAGTATCATTTTTTGGAAGTTAACATTTTAGTCTGTGAATTCCATTGGAGGTAATCTCTTTTCTTTTTCTTTTTTTTTTTTTTATCTCTTTTTTCTCAGGTTTAAAAATATGATGACGGTGTCATGTAGTATTAGAAGACAGATAAGAGCCAACGATGATGTTAATGTAATTAAATAGTTTAATTAATAGACAGTTTATATTTTATTCCTCCTTACTCTGGTTCTCCCCTTCCCTTATACCGTTCACATCCCACCATCAATTCATAATCCCTCTTACCTTCCGCTAATTACAATTTATCCTTTTGTTTTGTTTTGTTTTCTCTTTCTCATATTTATCTTGAATATTTGGTCATTTAACTATTAAGATTTAATTTTTAACAACCAATCCAAATATGAAATACTTGTCCAATCCTATGAAAGATAGGCGAAGACATGTTCATACACAAAATGCAACTTTACCATTATTAAGGAAAAAAAGATGGAAGCCATGTGAAATATAAATTTATAATCGATCAAGTCATTTCAACTTCAAAAAGCATTCGAAATTTAATTTCCTGGACAATGGCATTCTGTTTCCTATTTGTCCAGACAATTATTCCCAATCTAGGCGATAAGGCTAAACCCACCATTCATTTGATTCCAAGAAAATTGACATCTTAAGAGTACGTGGCACTCCACTCCACTGAATCATACACCATCTGCCCAGCCCAAACTTGATATATATAAATATAAATATAAATATATATATATATATATATATATATATCACTTTAATGGCCTCCATGATGTCTTAAGAAAACTTTGACATTGCATTTCCCACTTTTCACTGTAACAGTTTCCAATCTACAACTAAGGAAATAATTCGGATAAGAACATGCAAGGAGCAAGGGCTTTTCACCTCTTGTTCTACTTGTACTTCTTCCAAGAAAAAAAAAATTACTTGCCATGCATTTGATTATGTACTAATTAATTAAGAAACCTATTATCGAGGAGGATCCTGGACATCTTTCAGGATGATCGAGATTTATTTGATAAAGCTTCACGTTCTAGACGATGCTGTTTTCGCCGAAACAAAAACAAATAAAAAACCACTAGCCTTAGGTAGAAACCAAATGTATGCAGAAAAAATCGACCATGCATGTTTAGTAAATATTTGATGACACCTTGCATCCAACGTGCAACACTAGTTGAGTTTGTGGTAAGTGATATGTTCGATCGGCATCAACAAATCAAAATAGAAAACAGGAACAAATTTGAATGCAATGACAACCAAGAAGAATTAAATGGATAACTAATCATTGCCAAAACAAGTAACAAAAGCATACAGTTCTTCAGTTGATAGCAATCATTCTCTCTAGATAGTGATGGTTTCTTTGGTGATTCACATTCACTTTGCCAAGAGGTTATAAAACGTAATCCAAATTCCTTGCATGAACCATGTTCTTATAACTATGTAAAGGAAATAGAAACTTGACTGCACTTCACTATTTAAAAATGTCCATACAACATAATCAGGTTCTTATCATGTAGAAATGGATAACCATCACAATGTCTAAGCACGCCAACTAAAAGGGGCCAGATTATCTATGCTGCAGTCCACCCAGACAAAATCTACATTTTACATTCAAAACTTTGTACAGGTTTTGATAGTTGGAACATTATTTGCCAATGGAAAAGCTCCTATGAATTTATTTGGTTCTATTGAACCTTGATATAACATCATATACTATGAAATAAAAAACTGAGGAAAGAAAGAATCTGCAAAAATGAAGGTAACTTTTCTAAAGTTAGCCCAACATCCTAATAAAGTAACAGATTACAGTTTGATTGTTCCGTAATGCAACAGAAATGAATGGAGAAAATGACTTTATTAGATTGATAGTAAACATATATAGAATAATCCTAAACTATTTCTATCTCATCAAGATTGCCCTAACAGTCACAAGAACGATAATATCAAGCAAGTGAAAGACAAAATCCAACTTCATCATAGCCAGGACAAAAGAATCAACTTTTACCACACTTGATCTCTGGCAGCAACAAATGCTACTACCATTTAAGAAATCATTTCATAGTAATTTATTTTATTTAGGAGAGATTGTTTGGCTCCAATGATTTTGATTACCCTGAGAAAATATTTTTGATATTATTTGACATCTTTCTTGACCTATTCAAGTCTTTTTGGGACTATATATTACTCCAGAGCAAATTTGTGACTAATAAAATTATCTCAAAATAAAAGATTGAAGCTACACTACATAGTTTGCACAGCTCTTTTTTTTTTTTTTTTGGTATTGGGGGATGGAGGATACGAATTCAAGTCTTTGAGAAGGGGACGTATACACTAATCATTGAGCCAAATACTCATATGCAAATGTTTTAACACAGATTGAACTTCGATTAAAAAGGTATTACATACCACATATATATATATATATATATGTAGTCAACTGTAATTAAAATTCAGGTCTTCCTACATATATATTTTAAGATGGCCTATATATATATATATATGCATCCATGATAGTCTTTTCACCATTTAGGTGTGGCAAACAAAGCTGAACACGTCCACTAAAAAATCATTCAAACTTCTACTCTAGCTATTTGAAATTGCACTCCATGTCAAATGGTTGAATATAGCTAGGAGCGGATCATATTTTAAGCAATTGGTCTATAAAGGAATCAAATCTCTGCTAGACCCGTATGTTCGCTTTTGGTACCTGACTGATTGAACAAGAACAAGGACAAGTGGACAACTAGAAGCTGATGAAGGCTATTTCAATATAGCAGCTGGAACACCTCTCTTGCCGACCCTTTGGTCAAATTAACATGGACTTGGTTTAAATTAATTAGCTTAACACTCCAACAAAATTCTGTCCTTTTCTACAGGCATTGGTTTTTTCTAAGCCGGTCTGTATCCGAGTCTATGCTAGCAAATATGCGTTTGACACATCTAATTCTCATGACGACTGCCATTGATTCTATAAAGCTACATATCATCAATAAAATAAGAAGGCGGTTAGAAATATGCTGCAATTTTCTAGAGAGAATTGCAGCACCAGCCAGAGCCTCACAACTCTCAAGGATCAACATTGTTTTTTCCAACTCAATTTCCTAGTAGAGTGCTAATTAGAATGGTTTATGCCGGCCAAATCATCTCCTAAAAGAAAATTTATATAATATATATATATATATATATATATACACATATAACAACTAATTAACGCTAAACTCCCTCATTGAATCCACCAGAAAGATGTTAAAGCTTCAGCTTTTTCTTTTCCATTTTTTAGGAATTCTGTTCTTCTCACAGCAATTTTGTGGTAAGAATCTAATGGCCCATGCATACATATATACTTAATTTTCATCAGTCTATTGGTTTCGCAGCATGTTCTAAATCCGTTACATATATATATATATATATTTATATATATATATATATATTATAATATGGTTCAGATGGCAAGGTGATGATGGAGTACATTGGAGCAACTGGTGTTCCTGTAAAATTTGATTCTGTTCCAATTGAAGATAGCATTGACTTCCACTTCATACTTAGTTTTGCTATAGATGGTGATCCCTCTGGCAATGCCCAGAATGGCAAATTCTCACCCTATTGGGCAGACACATTAACCCCAGAATCTGTCGCAGCAATCAAGAAGAGCCACCCCAATGTGAAAACCTTAGCTAGTCTTTCTGGATGGAGCCTAGGGGATAAAGTCCTCCGCTGGTACAACCCTGTCAACACCCAGCTATGGATATCAAATGCCTTTTCGTCATTGAAATCAATGGCAGAAGAATATCATCTTGATGGCATTGACATCGACTATGAAAACTTCCCCAAACAAAATTCATCTTTTGCTTATTGCATAGGTGAACTCATCACCCTCCTGAAGAACCAAAGTGTCATTTCTATAGCCACCATTGCTCCATTTCATACTACAACTATACCCTTCATTGAGCTATTTGATAATTATGGAGATGTAATTGACTTTGTCAACTACCAGTTCTATACTGATAAGGTTAGCAAACCAGAAGGTTACTTGGAAGCTTTCAAGCTTCGAGCTGGACAGTTCGAGAAGGATAAGTTGTTGCCTAGCTACGAGGTCAATGGGAGGGGAATTCAAGGTGACGCATTTTTTGATGCTTTAAGTCTTCTGGAAGAAAATGGATTTACTGTTAATGGAGTTATGATCTTCTCAGCCGATGCGTCTTCCGCCAATGACTATTACTATGAGAGAAAATCACAAGATTTCTTGCTAAATTCCACTAGTGAGTGAAAAGTGTCTGGGCAAGTCACCTATTATAATATAAGTTAGAATAAATATGGCCATAGTCCATAGGTGAGTTATGATGTGTATTGCTCATTGCTGTAACGTTTTTATCAGATGTATTTAATTCAATTCTTAATTTGGTAAATAATTATTTTTAGTTTGGTTTAAGAAATGCATTGATAATCATAGATTCTTGATTCATGATTTTAATTGAATTTTGCATTCAGATAATAGAAAGCAGAAAAGCACACATCAGTACTGTACATCTTGTAGCAGCCTAGCAGGATATCCTGCTTCTTTGGGTAAAACAAACTATGTACATCGAGATACTATATATTTACATTGATATCAACATAAATAACTTAAATAGATCAAGCGAAAGATGCTATGTACATTTATATATATTTAAATGACATCGACAAATGTGAAAATACATATTGTAAATTTATTTATTGTAACATTTAATGTTGGGTAAATTCAACACAAAATATACACAAATTACACTAAACATTGAAATTTTAAAAGTGACTCTCACCGTGTAGCACTTAAGTATTGCAAGAATTTAGAGGTGGCTCCCATGGTATAATATTTAGTTCTCATCCTACTGATGATTGTTTTAATATTATTTATGGAGATCCGTACCCAACTTGCGAGATATTATCCGTTTTGATTCAAAAGTCTCACGATTTTATCCCACAAAAGACGTCTCATAAATTTTGAATCTAAACCTTTGCATATATATCATAACAGATTCTTAAAGTATCATAATTAGAGCGTTCCATTTATGTTAAGCATGCATGTATTTTTATACATTACAATAAAAGATACAGATAAATAGTATAGTAGAAAGATTGATATTTTCTTTCTACAGCAACAAGCATACGGCTGACACTATTCGAAACATTACAAATTGGAATAACGAATTCCAATTAACTGTGGTTTGGAAACTAGAACAATCAACAAAGATGTTTTTTTATTAAATTGCTAAGGTTAGATGATTCACAAGCATGAAACTAGAATGGAAAAACCAATTATAAACTCCCAGCATAAAGATAGCAAGGAAGACCTTAATTATCAGTACTTGTTCATATTTTCACTTATTACTTTCTTAATGTCATCAGCAATGGCCTTTGCATCCATTGACACACCAAACAGTCCCCTCCTTGATAATCCACAACAATACAGGTTCTTTTCTCCCTTCCAATGGCGTGGGAAATC